CTCTCGTCTGTTTTCCAGACGAGGCGCTGCTCAACTCGATCAAGGCCAGAGTCTTCCTCAACTCCCACTTCCTGTTTGAGAAATGCAACAAATGCTGTTGCTTGGCAGACCGAGAGGGTGGAACCACTAACAAATACACACACACAAGCTCACAACGACATTGTGACATCATAATGTACCAGCTTACATAACAGTGTACCTCTTAGCCAATAGCAATGGCAGATTTAAATTCAGATGCAGTGCAGAGTTTTTACCTGAAGAGGGCGCAACACTGACAGTTTTAGGCAGAATATTAAAATTTTAACTAAGGTGCACTAAAGTGCCAAATTATTGACTACACTTGTCTACAGCACAATTAGACACTCGTTTATATAGTTTATTAGCTAAAAAAAGTTCATTTGGGGGTGACTTGCTTTTTAATGAGCGCCACTTTGATCGCAATAAAAAGCAAGTTATGTCCAATATAAACAGACGTTTGCAAAAGCGCAGAGACTGCCCCATGACCTCTTTTTCATTGCCATCACATAATGTTTTGTGAAAAGGACATGACTGAACCACATTAGCGCCACTTATAAATCACTTAAGGCTTCCTGATGCCAGCGCAGCGTTGCGACAAATTGGTGGCATTGTTTTCTAAAAAAAAAAAAAATTCTAAGGATCACTAGCCTGGCCTGCCAGACTTTCCCTCTGCATATTCTACACAGAGGGCGAGTCTGGATGCTCAGAGACAGAGAGGACCATGAGGGGCGGGACTAGCCAGCTCAAAAATGATCAATCAGAAAAATAGCGGAAATGATGACTGTATCGCATGACTGTAGTTTTTTGAGCTGTAGTCAAAGATGGTGTCTGGCAACGACGCAAACTTCTTTCTTTAGAAGAAAGGCTTTCAGTGCGCCTTCTTCTTGTGGTTTTAAAGACATGTCCAAGTCATTTAGAATAGAGGAACGAGCCTAAGCGAACTCCGTTTTAGATGCCATCTTCGCTGTTTTTGAGAAACTGAGCATACATTCTCAGGGGGTGGGGTTATTGGAATGGGTGTGTGACCAGGCATTTTGCTTCCCATAAAGAAGCATTAGCATGGCTGACCAGGCCAAAGAATCACAGCCGCTCACTCCCAGCCTACGACAACTGGGCGGGCCTTTTAAGGCCACCGCTCTTGAATTTGGACACAGCTTTTGCCATTACTCCCACCTTATTTTATTTTATTTTATTTTTATCTGCTACAGGAAATAACATTAGAAAAAACAGATTCCTAACAAAATACACTGAAACTATAACATCTAATTTCTATTTTATTTAATAAATGATTTATTTTGTTGCAGTCCAGGAGTAAAGCAGGGGTAAGGGGGTGAGGTAGTGGACAGAGTGTCACAATGCTGATCTCTGTCCAGTAACACCCCCTCCCCCATGTCAGGACTAAAACCACATACCACCCAGCAGCACACCTCAGCTGCCACCATGTAAAGACTAAATATAATTTTGGACTTTTTACACATTTTACAGACACTCTAGATGCAGTTCAACACCTTATTTAAATCATACTGTCATGTCTAACTTTTAAACCAATGAAGATGACAGGGAGAGGTATTTATTTGTGTGTGTGTGTGTGTGTGTGTGTGTGTGTGTGTGTGTGTGTGTGTGTGTGTGTGTGTGTGTGTGTGTGTGTGTGTGTGTGTGTGTGTGTGTGTGTGTGTGCACGCTCTGTCTTCTGGATCCCCAGTGAGTCGTGGTGGATGGCTGCTTATACTGAGCCAGGATTCTCTGGAGGTTTCTTCCTGTTAAATGGGAGTTTTCCTCTCCACTGTCGCTAAATGCTTGCTTAGTATGAGGGTTGCATCAAGTCACTGACACTAGTCAGTGATGATGCAATTTGCTGGGTTCCTTATATAGGAAACATTTTTTCTGATTGGCTTAATGAACTAACCTGAATTGGAATGTTTATTATGTGAAGTGCCTTGAGACGACTCTTGTCATGATTTGGCGCTATGTAAATAAAATTGATTTTAATGTAATTGAATTGGAAGGAAACAGCATTTTGATTCAGTTATATTTCCGGGACATTTTGTAAACTGGTAAAATACTAACTGGTTTGATTTTTTTTTTTTTTTTTTTGCTGGAAGTTTTTCTTTCAGATTTATTTTGAAAGTCAAAACCGGAAGTTTATTGGTTTCCTATTATTTCAGCTTGATTCGACTCTGCATCGACATTTTAGCCCAAAGTATAAATTATAAGACCACGCAGTCTTTAAATATTAAACAAATAGTGTCAAGATGCAGGTACGCAGGTGTAGTTGTTGGTATGGCAAGCCGTTCTAACATTTATTAGGTAGCCTGGATTTGTATTCCTGATAAATATATTATTCTTAGAAAAAAAATAACATCCCAGATACCCATATAATTTTATTCAACTGTTACTAATAAAAACTCATATTCAGATAGGTAAAATGAAATCAACATTCCAGCTCTCTATAATTTTATTTTGGATATCAAAAATATATTTATAATAGTAACAATTTTATTTATCCTTTATTTTAACACTTTCAGATATTGGCAGTTACATTTATTACAAGCAACAATGTATTTCAAGCCATACAAAAATATTTTCAAGACATCAGGTGACATTTCAGAGGATGGCCATTTCAACATAAAATATGCTCACAGACTGTCTGGAATTATTTTTGGTATATCAAAAAATAAATTCTTCCTATAACCTTTTTAATAATGAAAATGAATTCTTGCCAGCCATAAAGTCATTCTGACTAGTAAGAACACCATCATTAGTAACATTTTCAGGCCTCATTTAAGACAATTACAGTAAATGTTTAGGTGTCTATTTTAACATTTGATAAATCCTAACAACAAAACACATTTGACATATAAAAAATGTGATTCTTCATAGGACAAATGGCGTCACATCTCATTCATGTGTATTGATGCATTCCTCCCATCAAGAATAAACAAAGTGGACAGAATAAACTGAATTCTTACTAGGAGAAACTGTTGTTTGGTATGCCAAGCTGTTTCAATATTTATTAGGCAGATACTGTATGTATTCAAGATATAAATCTATTCTTCCTAGTAAAAATTAATATTCCAGATATCCATAATAGCATTCGAGCTATCCTGAGTGGACACTTCAGATATCTTAATTGTAATTCCTCAGAAACAGTTGAATTATATTATATTAGAGTTTATCCAACAAGAATTCAGTGTATTACCCATAATATCCCTTCCAGATAGGAAGGATGTACAGTGGGATGCGAATGTTTGGGCAACTTTGTTCATCTTCATGATTTGCCGGTATAAATCGTTGGTTGTTACGATAAAACGTGTGAGTTAAACATATCATATAGGCATGGATGTAATTTTGGGGGTTTGTGGATATTGCAGACATGTCCCCCCCACTTTTTCAAAAGTCAAGTTTTGACCCCTGCACTTTTTACCATACAAAAACAATATTACGCTATATTAAATTAAATTGACACTGGCTGAGCTCTAGGACCAAGCGGAAAACAACCGTTTGTGTTGAAGCCTGTTTCCCATTAGAACATACAGTAAAGATACCCCCCCCCCCTTCTAAAGTGAAAATTACGTCCATGCATATAGGGTACACACAGTGATATTTGAGAAGTGAAACAAAGTTTATAGGATTTACAGAAAGTGTGCAATAATTGTTTAAACAAAATTAGGCAGGTGCAGAAAATGTGGGCACCACAAAAATAGAAATTAACTTAATATTTAGTAGGTCCTCCTTTTGCAGAAATAACAGCCTCTAAAAGCTTCTATAGCTTCCAACGAGAGTCTGGATTCTGATTGAAGGTATTTTGGACCATTCCTCTTCAGGTCTGATGGCTTCCTGATGGACAGCTCTTTCATTCACAACACAGACTTTCAATAATATTCAGGTCTGGGGACTGAGAAGGCCATTCCAGAACATTGTGCTTGTCCCTCTGCATCAGAGTCTTAGTAAATTTTGAGCAGCTTTTGGTGGCGGTGTCCTTATGTGGGGCTGCATGGGTGCTGCTGGTGTTGTGGAGCTGCATTTCATTGATGGTATCATGAACTCAACATTGTACTGCTCTATACTGAAGATGCTGCCATCACTCCGTACACTTGGTTGTCTTGCACTTTTGCAACACGACAATGAGCCAAAGACAATTCTGAAGCAACAAGTTGAGCATCACTCTTCATCCAGCATCCAGGCTCCAAAAGAGGTTATCCTTGAAGAATGGATAAAGATAGATGTTGCAAATTGTCAAAAAATTTGATAATAAAAAAATTCATAGATGTGTGTAGGTTGGCAACTTTCCTGTCCCTCTAAGAAGCTGTACCACCTTGAGTCACGTAAAAAGGCCTTGTTTGAGATGAGCAGCGCCCCGCCTGGAAAAGAAACGAGAGCAGACGAACGCAGCAGGGGTCGTGGCTAAAAGCCGGCGTTTTCAGTCGGACAGATTTCCCTACATGTAGCTTGCCGGTGAATGTCTGAAGATATCGCATTAGCATTCATAATACTGTAAACATCTGGTGCCTGTTAGCAGCTGAAACACGTCCTCACACGTTTGTGGATATTGCAGACATGTGCATATGAAGATATGACGGTCACATTTCTCTTTAAGGCCTATACGGTTGTCATCACCAACATAACATACAGAATACTCATGGCCAACTAACATTTCGCATTGCACAACAGGATGTTTGGATCAAAATGTGAACCAATCAGAGCCAGGTTTTGCAGCTGGTGGAGAGAAAGTGCAGCACCTTGCTCCAAAATCTGCAGCCGCCTAGATCTCAAAAGGTTATCATTGCCTACTAGGCATGAAGTCAGAGCAAGTCAGACACAAATCTAACCAGCAGCACTGCACACAGATCACCAGTGATCTAATCTGCCCAGAACTGGCTCACGTGGAACAGGCCAGTGTAAAGTAATATACGTGGTAGCCCCATCTAGTGGACAACTTTTGTTTCTGCGCATCCCTGTAGTTATCCATTAATCGTTATCCAGGTGAAATCCTCAATATATCGTGATATTGATTTAAGGCCATATCGCCTAGAAGACTTGGAGCTGTCCTTAAAAATCATGGTGGTCATATAAAATACTAGATGTAGTAGTTTTTGTTGTGGGGTCTATTCATTTTTGCTTCAACCAATTTTGGTAAAACTGAAGATTTTGTGATCCAAGTTATATTAACTTTGATTTCATGTTATGGAGTAAAACAAGTGTTCAATAAAATTCATTGAGCTACTGATGAAATCTGTACTTTTAAAGGGGGTGTACTCATTTATGCTGAGCACTATATCTATCTATCTTACTTATCTGTCTATACCATTGCCTCAAGACAAATTACTTGTCCATATGAACGTGATAATAAATTAGATTCTGAATCTGGTCTCCTGCTACAAAATCCTGCACTGAGCAGCCATTACATTATGACCAAATAGCAACACTACTTGTAAAAAAATTTAATCTTCAGCAAATCAAACACAAGAGTCCAATAGGACTGGGGCCCTCGACCTCCTTGCACAGTGGTGGTTCAACATGGAATTACTCCCCGGGCGAGACAGCCCTTGAGCCCCCCCACCCCCCCCCCCCCCCCCCCCACCCCCACCCACCCCCGCAGGGGGCACCAACGTGCTGGCTCCAATGCAGACATAGTGAAATCTGACAGATAGAAAACCATGTTGCAGCGCAGGTTTCTCTTTTGTTTTTATTCAGCAATTGTGCGCCCCTTTGTGATGAAAAAAATGCCGCCCCGGGCAGCCCGTGCCTAAAACCGCTACTATCCTTGCATCTTGCATCACAGACCGATACCAGTTCTTAGACTGGTAGTTGGGATCCAGAAAGTAGACAACACCCTAAATGTTTTTACAGGCCAGTCTATTAGAATGATTCTCAGTGGATATGAAAATTATATTTCCAGAGTCAAAACACCTTGTAGATGTTGGAAGAAAATATGATTTTTAATGTCATGTCAGACTGGCGTGGCTTGGGCTGTTCGCAATGAAAGGGTCAACAATGAAGACAAAAACTAGTTAATGAAGCAGAAAAACTGCCTCAACTGTGAGATTTCAGCTCCTGTGAGAAATGCATCAAAACTTCCTCATAAGGAACTTTCTGGATAAAATGGCCAAAAAAAAAGTTTTCTTAGTCATATATGTACTTTTGAAATAAATAAGAGCTCAGATTTTAAATATAGCTAATGGAAACAGTTTAATATTTCTACTGTGTGTATCAACCATCAGAGCCTTCATAAAGGTAGCGTTAGCAAAATAAGTAATTTTATAATTACTCGTTTCATCATAAAATCTCCATTGGATCAATTTTTAGAAATCCCTTTTCTTAAAGTGTAAAAAGAAAATAAGATTCAATTTCCAGTCATGAAGTGAGTCTGTTTGGTTTTGCATTAAACTTTTATGGCATAAAACCACAAAACCTGAGTGCAAAGTAAAAGTGTCAAACCAAACTCAGTCAGTTAAACATATATTTTATGGAGAGTTGCAACAGCTTTAGCTCTTGCACAATTTTTGTCTTCCTTCTAACTTTTGGATTGAAACTTACGACTCATCTTATGGAAATCTCGTTTTGTCGCCGACTTACAGGTTTCGCAAACCTTAAATCTAATTTATCCGAAAAGACGAGTGGTTTTTCCACATTTAGAGAATATTTATAAAACGGCTCCTAATTTTATATCACACTCATAGTTATTGTATTTAATGCAAGTGGAGAGACTAAACTTGGATGTTTATTATTTTGTATAAAACAAAGTGAAAAGTTGTTTATATTTATTTGGATCAAAGTAAAAACGGCTCCAGATGCATCTGTGTGCTAAGCGTTTTGAGGAATGTACACAAAAACAAACAATAGCTGCAAAACAACAATTTTATTGCGATTCATGGGTTTCCACTCTTCCACTGCGCTGGCTGCATGCCGGGCACGTCTGCAGAGGGGACAGGCCGGCTTCGGAATACCTCAGATGTGCGTAACGGTGCGGGCGAAATAACCAAAGAGCCCGCCTGCACAGGCTTGTCCAGAGTTCACTTGTCTTCAGCCGTTTTAATTTAAAACATAAACAAGAGGCTTACTCCAAGCTACCACCAAAGGCATGTTCTTGGGTACTGCAAACAAGGAGGCAGAAGAGCACCTGCACGATACATTCACATTTACCAAACTGGAATATCTGGGAGGTCAATAAAAGTTGATGCTTCGATCGGGTTCTTGATCAGATTGTCCTGACAGCTGATCTAAGGCAGAATAAAGCTAAACTGATAAGGCTTCTGATTACAGGAACAATGCAGTCACATTCAGGTCCATTTCAAGCTGAACACACTAGTTCCAACTCTTCAACCGTTCATTAAATTCAAAAACTGTCTACAAATTTTGAGAGAGAGGCTTTCAGCTGAGTTGTATTTGAATTTGCTGACAGCACAGAGCGACCAGATTCGACTGTGTCACAAAGGGGTTAACGAGGCACCTGATCAAGTTTTAGGGGATTGTATTTCTGCAGGTTTTAATGAAGAATAAGAGTCAGAAAAGGAGTGAAAAGTGCAAAAAGCTCAGACCAAAACATCAAACCAGGAATTGGATATGGACAAGAAACACTTCAGAATGAATTTAGGGCTTGTTTTTGGTTTAGAGGGCAAAACCAGCAGTAGAGAGAAGGAATGGGAGAGAATTAACAGAAGCGAGACAAAGGTGGGGGTGTGAGCTCCGCTGGTCAGTAGAAAATCACACTGGACTTTCCTCCGGGGGGGTTGAGCACCCTGTTGTGAGAGCGAGGCTTAGGTCCCAGGTGAGGCTCGTGGTTCTTCAGCGAGTCCTCATCAGCTGTTGAAGGTGGTTCTGGCTGTGGGGGGGAGGAGACGGCGGCAGCTGCAGGCTCTTCCTTGGCTGGGACAAGAGAGGGCGGAGCGGCTTCTTCCTTCACCTCTGGTTGGACGACTTTGGCTTGAGGCGATTGCAAGAAGAGAAAAACACTCTGATCCACGCTCAACCAAAGGAAAGAAGCAATAAAATGTCTCACCTCCACCTCTTCACCTTACTGATTACTGAGGCTGTTTCTCTTCTGCATGTAAATTACTGCACTGGACACATCAATTATTTAAGATATGTTCTTCACTCATGCAGAGAGGCTTCCTGGCCTTGGAAAGGCATTACAACAAGTGTGTTTATTATCTGCTGTGGATGCTTCTGTTAGCACCGCTGACCTCAAGCTATTCAAGTGCCCACTTGAAACTATTTTTATTTTTAAGCTCTTCTCCAGACATAAGACCCCTGGACTTGGTCCACACTGACCTGCTGAGACTCACCAAGTCAAATACAAAGTTATTCACTTTCACTAACCTGGTGATTCAGATTCTGGTCCAACAGCTAGATTATCCTGGAAGAAAAACAAGTCAGTAAAACTGTTAAGTTCCAGGTAAAAAAAACAAACAAAAACAACAACATTAAGCCATACAAAGGAACGATAAATGTCAAAAGCATTCCTCCAGCCAAACATGATTTTATATGACCCAAAAGATCCTACTTTACAGGTACTGAATATAATAATAATAGTAATAATAATAATGCATTGAACTTATATAGCGCTTTTCTAGACACCCAAAGACGCTTTCACACTCTCACATTCACACACTGCTAGTGATGGTAAGCTACTTGTAGCCACAGCCACCCTGGGGAGGTCTGACAGAGGCGAGGCTGCCATTTGGCGCCATCGGCCCCTCTGACCACCACTAACACAGGTAAGTTGGGTGAAGTGTCTTGCCCAAGGACACAACAGCACGATACCCCTGGCGGGAGCTGGAATCGAACCCATGACCCTCCGATCATGAGGCAATCTGCTCTACCACCTGAGCTACTGCTGCCCCGTATGACCTGTTAATGCCTGACAGACAGAGGCTCTCATGGTGCAGATTTGAAGTTTGAATTTATCTCGGTTTATGCCGATGTGGAAAGCTCAAAGGGGTCAGAACCAACTGTTAAACTTGCAGCACTGAAAGAATGAAGGTGTACCTGCATTTAGAGGGTAAATCATTCAGGAGAGGTAAATAAATGCACTGTGAACTGACAACATCAGTGGTTTATCTTAAATTAAAATATATATGATCTTACTTTAAAATAGGGATGGACCGATATATTGATCAGTTGACATATTGCGCCAATATTTAACATTTTGTTAAAAAAAAAAAAAAAAAAAAAAAAAAAAAAAAAAAAACAGTTGGCGTCAATCTTTAAACCTCTTCAGTACAGACAATTTAAAGTCAGGCACATCCAAGGGCAGCTCGCTGCCAAACATTATATAATTAATATATAAACATATATTTACGTTTCTGCTTAAGAAATGTTGTAAACTGAAATTTTTTTATTTGACATGTTTTATGTTAAATACTTGGTTTGTTTATTGATTCGTTTGGTAAAATGTTTGATTTTAATTCCAAGCAGAGCAAAAAATTAAGATTCAAGAGTTAAAATCAGTGTTTATGAGCGGATTCAGGTTCAGAAGCATATTGTTGATATTAGTGATATTTAAACAAGAAGTTAGGGTGGAAAACATCTAGGTATCGGCCATCAGCTGACCATGACCGTTACATATCAGCACCAGTATCGGCGTTAGAAAAACCCATATCTGTCTGTATTGTGGCGTACCTTTGGCTTATTTGGGTGGCTCTTGCATGTGCTTTGGACAGGTGCGCTCTCTGCAGAGCCAAAAATGCTGCTGGTTGCTCCACCTGGAGGTACGGGTCTCTGTGGTTGAACTGGAGCTTCAGGTTGACCAAATATTCCACTACTCTTTCCACCTACAACAAAACATCACCAAAACATATTAAATACAACACATTTGCTGTAAGGGAAAATAAATCTGACATTCTTTAGCAGCACTCTAATCAGATTAATATTAGACACCATCCACAGTCTGAAAAGGCCACACACAAACTATGTGAATGAGACCTTAGAGAAAAATCCGAAAGAGCTAACAGTCCTCATCTAAAAACACCACATTAGTCAGGCATGAAAACCTGGCATTACCAAATATGTGACTAAATCCTGAGGTGGACTGAGTGCTAGCACACATGTATTTGTACTGGGATTATCACATTAAAGTAACAATTTTCACACCTTAGAACTGAGAAAAATACTGCATCGACTGATGATGCAAAAAGGCTTTACCTGGAGGATTGGAGCGCCTGGATACACTCTGGGGCTCTTCAGCTGGAGCAAAGACTGTGGAGGCCATCTTATTGGGTCTTCTTGAGGGTGCAACGTCCTCTTCATAGCCACCAAAAATGTTATTGGAGCCACCACCAGGAGGCTGCAGCACCCTGCAGAAGAAAACTAATAAATATGCATTTACATGTTCCTACTTTACCGGGTCAGATTTCAGAAACAAAAGGATTTCTGGTTCCTATATTAGAATTAATCTTACCAACTTTGTTTAGTGCAGGTAATCAAATTTGCATTTTATTTTTGGATTTATAGCTCCAAATGACATTTGATTCAATACTTTCAATTATACCCCTTAATCTGATTTAGAGGGTGAGAACAGATTTCAAATTCACGAGTTAGCTCTGGTAAGCTCAAAATTATCTCAAAGAACTATTGACTGACTAAATATATTTTCTTGTTTTCCCTTGAAAAGTATAGACAACCACGTAAGCTACACAACTGCTAGCATGAATTGGCGCTTAGCGGTGGCATGTTCACGGACCAGGAAAAAGTCAGATTTTTTAAATGCTGCTTTGTAGTGCTGCATTTATTACCGGAGATAAAATTCCAAATGAATGAGTTGGTCCAGGACACCAAGGCTCAACATTGACTAATGCCACCCCCACCCCCCTTTTTTATTTATCGCTGTAAAACATGTTTTATAATGTAAGGTCCCAAACTGCTTCCTGAAATGAGGCCGTAGTAAGTTGTGTTATTTTAAAATATTTCTAATTGCAGGAGTACAACATGTCATGTTCCCCCTCGAGTAAACACTGTGCGTGGTTATAAATGTGCGACAGAGCAACAAAAAGCGCTGCAAACGCAGTCAAATAACAGGTTATCTGATTATATAGTCAGGAATGAAGAAGCAAACTGGATAAATCTATTTCTAAAGTGGTGCGGAAGCTGCCTTTTTAGTGAAGGTGGCTGGAAAACTGACACTTGGGTGGAAAAACACGCGTGTACCAAGAACAATGTGACCACAACGCCGTTACTGGATAATACAAAGAGGAGCAGTCTGAAGAGCATTCCCCACTTCCGCAGCAGACAACGCCTGGCTCATAGCTCGTTGGCTACCTCAACTCTCGAGTTTAACAAGCACTTAAACTAATATGTAGCTAAAGCTAAACATCCACGCTTGACTTTAACGGGCTAGCATACTAATTAGAACACATTAAGGGTACAAAAATATTAGCAGAAAGTGATAGAACACGAACCTACATCTTGTGACCAACTAGCGTCTACATAGTTCATACGCACTCCAGGCCTGTTCCCCAGTAAAAGCAAGGCTACGTTCCTCACCTGGAACTTGGTTTCGAGCCCGAATCAAACCCCTGAAACGTGTTCGTCGAAGTCATAGTGGTTTCGGTTGGAGCTTTCAATTTTCCAAAGACAACTTAGTCCTTTGCCACCTAGACGAGCAGCAACGTCCCTCCTCCCTGCGTCTGCCCGAAAAAATCCCCAAGAAAATGAAGCCGCCCCACCGTAAGACAGGGGAATATGAATGGTCAACGGCCAATCTGGCGATGGGATGCGCTCGATTCAGATAACCTTAACTCGCGCAAAGAAATTTGTTTAGTGATTCATCGTTTCGCCGTTTACTTAACACAATTGGCAACCACTTATACTATATTTATTGCGGATTTTTAAAAGTTCTTATTTATGGGGTACATATATAGAGTAAAAAAAGGTATTTTATAAACTGCATAAACTCCCCGCCTTGCATATTTTCGGACGGATTTTTAACAATCGCACCCCTGTTTAGGACTTTTAAGGGTGGCGCTTGTTTTGTGTACAGCTAAACGGATCTTTTTTACGTTTAAAGCTTCAAAAAGACATTACAAATTCAACTGAATGTTTAAAAAAAAGAATAATAACATACGTTAAACTCAAATTAGTTTGAAATATTGATCTAAACTAAAGTGTTTATTTCTTGACATAGCGAAGCAATTTCTTAGGGAAACGCTCATGACTAATTCAAACGCACCTTCAAAATTCCTGCCTCTGATTTGGTTTTCAAATGTCAATCATTTTCTAGGCGGAACAAATGAAATTAATTGTTTCTCTCGTTTTATGTACGACGTTCTTATCTAGTTTTGCTTAGTTATTAAAGAGGTAATGATATAGTGTTAAATTGTTTATGATTTCAATTTTTTTATTGTTTGAAAATGTCCACGAGGCATGACAGGAAAAGAATGACAATTGGTTATTTCTTGGGTTTCGTCAATCAACAATTTGTTGATTTTTCCATCAATCATAGTTTTAGTCCCGCCTCCTTGTTTATCTAACCAATCAGTGACTTTGTTTTTGAGTTGTAGTGGGTGTGCCAACGCGCGTGGACAATCGATCCTTGGGAGCTGTCAGCTGTACAAGCTTCTTCGTCAGTATGCTAGTCTGCCTCTCGAATGGGAATACTACTTTGAACCTTCTGCTTCAGGTATTTACTATTATTTGCTGGGGCTATCCGCATTAAAACAGGTTTATTATTTTTGTGGATAAACATTTATGCTACAAGGAGTTTTTGTAACGTTAGAGTTTGTTTGTGCCTGCAGTGACCGGTAATGTTAGCTAAGCTAGGGAGGTCCACATGGACGTTAGGAGGGAATGAAGAATGTTCTTCAGGTGTAACGAGAAGTATATAACAGTTGTGGGTAAAAGTTTTACATAAAATGACACTGTTTAATTATTACTGACTTTTTTATATAGTTTAGACTCGAAGTGAGAACATTGGTTTAAGCTGCTTCAGTTGTGGATTTCAGGAGGTAGAAATGAGCAAAACTAAAGAATAATGTTGTTTTTCCTGCATAACGTGTGTAGTAACCGTTTGTTAAAACAGAGAAATCAAGTATCTTCGTGTTTCTAAATTCTTGTCTCTTAATAGTTCAAAATATCATCCAGCTTTTTGAAAATTTAGGCTGTCGCCGCAAGTTAGCTACATTTATTTACCTTTAAAATAGAAAATATAACTATATTTTATGCGTTTAATTTCCCGGCGAATTAGCTTTAAGGTGGTTCAAATCAAAAGGGTTTGTTAAAGATCAAATGGATGTTTTCTCGTGCTTTAAAATGTATCATAAACTTTTATTTGGTGACAATCATGTTACACTACTCCTTTTGATTATTGAACAACCATTGAAAAATATTTATAAAATATTACACACTATTATTATGCAGTTATACAAATGTAATATTTGCACACGTACAGGCTGGTTTACACGTTTTACCCATTTAATGGGAAGAAATGCTTCCTAATAAAGTGTTGTCATAACGCTTTATAAATACAAAATGTGTATGAAATAATTTATATTGCAGAGGTGATTTCTAGAGGATGGTGACGTATAACGTCGATTCTATTCGCAGTTAGGTTAATAAAACTGTACTAATCAGTTCAAATGAGTTCAGCTGTAAGAGCGTTGGTAAAAAATAAACTCCTTTCACCGCAGGCAGCGAGCAGCTTACATTTAAGGTGTTTTTATAGTTTTATTTCACGTTACAGAGAGGCATTGAGTAATGTTGTAGCCGATAGAAAACTGTCGAACTGCGCAGAGTTCAGCTCAGTCGAAGCTGGAGCAAGGAGAGGGCAGAAAGCGGAGAGCTCAGTTCGGCTTTATTATGTTCAGTTTGGTCAGTAATTGCCCATCAAAGCGACAGGACTCATGGTGAAGAGAAAGAAGACGTCGCCCACATCAGAAGAGCTTGAAAATGGGTAAAATTGGTTAGAAATAAACACTTTATTTGGAGGTCGAAAGCATCGAGGGGGTTCGTTGTCGTTTCTGCAGGGCGCTAAAGTGAAAAGCGCTCGCATTTGAATTTAGTTTAAATTATCAGGACATTAGTGCTCGTTAGAAATGAAATCATGACGACAAATACTACAGACAGTCAATAAACAAGCTGATTTGTTCGTTTTAATGTACCTCAGTGTGATTAATAGATATATTTGGTGTTGTTTTGACGGGACTGGAGAGGGGATTTGAAACAAACAGCGGCGGCCATGTTGAGAGACAGTAAACGTCGCCTTTAGAAGTTAATTTTGCTCGCAGGTTTGTTTCTAACGTGACATATTTCTGCTAATGCGCCCTGGCAGCATGACACCGGGCTCCAGGGAGGGGATCGGTGTCGATGGGAGGCGGAATCCGTCCAGAAAGCCTGAAGGTTGCGACGAGGAGGAGAGCGGAGAGGTGGCGAGCGAGGAGCGCAGTTCAAAGGGAGACGAGCGAGTGGAAACACTTAATCCATCAGCCACGGGTCTGGGCTCCGGTTTATCCCCGGTTCTCCCTGGATCCCCGCCGAACCGAACCGGGCAGGGTCCGAACCAGCAGCCCCACACCTCAACGGAACCCGTCCCTCCGTGTCAAGACCAGCATCATTTTCTACGGTCTAGCGTTCGACCTCCGAGCAAACGGATACGGAAGGATTCAGTCGGATCAGCCATCAACGGACACGGCGGAGCTAAATCTAAAGGTACGGATGATCCGTCCAGATGGGAGGAAGGGGGATCTGCTCTCACTTTTAACCTAGTAGCTTATCTAAAAGCAGGCCGGCCGGCTGGTTTCTATCCAGGACCTTCAGGGTGTGAGAACTTGGTCTTACATGGAAACTTTCCACAATGACACTTCAGATAAACCTCATCAACTCGTCTTGGTGCTCCTCAAAAATAAAACAAAACACTTACTTGCTCACCAGCCTTCATCAGACAACCCTCAACAGTTTGGCTTTTATTATTTTTAATCAAATCCTCCATTGAGGGTGCCAAACCAGCAATTCTCCAGATTTGTGTTTGTTTTCACATCCAGCAAACAAAACCACCACACCAAGTGTTTTAAATATGAAAATGTGCATTTTCTCTTGTGTTAAACACAGTAAAGTCCTAAAATGTCACATACGACCATCAGAGCATTCTGCCGATCACAACTGAAGCTGCTAGTTGTCGCACAGCACCTAAAAGTCTGTGGTTGCTACGGTGATCCTAATGAGCCACTGGCCGTAGCCTTAACACTTACACTTGTTTAGTCTGATTATTACTAAGTTGATGTTTGGGTTTTTGGTAGTAGTGACATAATTCCTTCAGCAGCTTTTACTTTCATTTCATTTGTTACTAATTAAACACACTTTCATTTACAGCTCAGGAGTACCTGCCCGAATTCACCTGCTTCTTTAGTTGGGTGACTCTGTCATACAGAAGCCATCCTAATGAGCATGTGTCCATGCTAATGAGCGCTGTCCTCTGGTTTTCTGTTTCACCAATGAGCAGAAACACTGAAAAGTCGGGCTTGAAGTGAGACAGGAGCATCCTGCGCGTGTGAATAAACTTGGAGCAGAAGGCCATCTGTTCCTGTGAATTCTCTTACCGAGATGCTGCCTCATAAAAGCCCTCGTCTCCTGAGATGAGGAATATTTAGTTTGGGAACCGGTTCAGAAAAAAAATCAAATCTTAGTTCTTTTATTTTGGCTCAGCCGCTGATCTTTTATTTATTTAACTTTGGATCCATAAACAGATTGGCCTTTGATTAGACAGAAGTAAATGTGAGTTAAATTTAGTGTGTGCCGCTGACATATTTGAGCGGTGTATTTTTTACGTTGTTGGCAACGGGAACGCGACACACGGTTTAGTAAAATATATTCAGGCTGATTTGACAGCTTGACCAAAAGAACTTCTCTTCCACTGATATGAATCTATGTTGGTGCACACCTTCTGAAGCTGCTGCCTGTGAGCAGAGCATCCGCCTCTCTGTATGAGCACTGTTTCATTCGTTAGCATTAGCATGAAGGCCTCCTGACATTGTGCTTGGGCCACTAACCCGCTATGGTTAGCTTTGGACCGGTATGCTGTAAACCTGGCCTGATTGCTTCTCCTGTCTTCTTGCCAGAGCTTGTCCACGGAGTAAAGGGAGCTCTGTAGGTTGAGCTGTAACGGCCATCAGTATTTCTAACGTGTGCATTTATTAAAATAGCCTCCAGATCACACACTTCAGAGCCACAGAATCATGGATTTTTCTTTTCTTCAGGATTTGTTTGTTCCTTTATAACTGTGTGGGCTTCTTTTATCTGTTTACCACAGGAGCAGAGAATGGATCTGCTTCTCAGGGGGTTGTGGGACCATCTGTGGTCGGCTCCATCGGAGGGGTGTCGAAGGCGTCCAAGGGGCAGGGGGCCACTGAGAAGGAGGAGCAAGCTGGAAACCAGAAGAGAGCCCGTCGGCAGTGGGAGTCCTGGAGCGCAGAGGACAAAAACAGCTTCTTCGAGGGGCTTTATGAGGTGAAAAGTGCAGCTCCCTCAAAGCCAATCACAGCTGCACGTGTAGAGCTTTTGAACGTTTACACCCATCTTTTCTGCTCTTGCTTGCAGCACGGGAAGGATTTTGAGGCAATCCAAAATAACATTGCTATGAAGTATAAGAAGAGAGGAAAGCCGGCAAACATGGTGAAAAACAAGGAGCAGGTCCGACACTTTTACTACCGCACCTGGCACAAGATCTCCAAACACATCGACTTTGCCAGTGGTGAGCTTCTTTATCGCCTTTCTGCACGTAGCGTGAGCACGAGTCTGTACCCTGTTATGTGCCCTCGCCGCGTGCTGATAAGGCTAAACCCTTTTCCCCGTCTGAAGCCTGTTATCTCTACGCAGCAGTCCTACTCCACACTTGTGATTCAGGCCTCCGTCTATTTTCAGTTTACTCCCGTGTGTTGAAGAAATCTTCTCAAGAACTCTACGGTCTGATCTGCTACGCTGAGCTTCGCAAAAAAGTTGGAGGATGTAAGTGAAGGCTGTTGGTGCAGCTCCTCTGCTGTTGTTTGGTGTGGACACAAGGGACGTGATTAAACCTGTCGTGAGGGACAACGACATAACCAGCTCTCTGTCTCTGTGTTTGTATTTTCCAGTGATGGATGAGAAGAACGTGGCTAAATTAAATGAACTCATCCAGCAAGGGTAACTCACACCCAAAATCTACTAGCAGTTGGACCACAGATCAGTTAGACCGCTCATATCCTGGATCGGGAGTTTAATGGACTTGTGTGTTTCTGCAGGGCCACCACTGTGCGCTCCAAAGGCAGGAACCTGCGAATCAAAGCTCCCATGTGCCGTGCTCTGAAGAAACTCTGCGATCCAGATGGTGAGCGTCCACATGCGCACGTTCAACAAGCAGAAATGCTAAACAAGAGACATTTAAGTCCGTGTCACTGTCTGGAAATACAAAACAAATGGCGAGCCACCGTCTGTGGGGGCAGGATTTTGGCAAAAAACAATTCTGTGTGGGCTAGCCATGTTTCCATGGTAACTATGGGTGGGAAGTGAGGAAGAGCAGGAGGAAGATGGAGCTGAATGTTTTGACCAGCTGTCAAGTGGTCGCTTTAGTAACATCCACTTTGCACATCTGAGGTAAATAGTTCAGATTCAGGGTAGAAAACTTCTACGGTGAGAAAGATGAAAAACAAGAATGTTTATTGTCCCACTCGGAGACTGGTTTATGGGTTCATTCAAATTTGTGACCTGGAACGACAGAATTAGACCCTGAATCTGCTTTATTAGAGAGGCCGTGCTTCTTTTGGTTTTACATTTTCACCTTTGTTGCAGTTATTGAGCCTCTAGGAGCTACTGAGAACAGTGTGAATCTCTAGTTTTAAAAGGACTACAAGCCAAATCTTTGTGTCGGTGTTCGAAATGGTTACTCAATACTTAATCTTCACTAAACACACATATGTCTTAACAGTACAAAGCGAAACTCATTTATTAGATAGCTCTTGTAGAGTAATACACACGGAGGTAAACGATTCAGGCCTTTATTTGTTGCATTACTGATGCTGTGAAGCACACCCTGGCTCGGCCTGGTGTTTGTGTATTTCAGACACTATTTATGCTTCACACTTCAGTTAAAGGGGACATTTTGTGCAAAACGGGCTGCGCTGTGGTGCAGTGGTTAGAGCTGTTGCCTTGCAGCAAGAAGGTCCTGGGTTCGCTTCCCGGCCTGGGATCTTTCTGCATGAAGTTTGCATGTTCTCCCTGTGCATACGTGGGTTCTCTCCGGGTATTCCGGCTTCCTCCCACAGTCCAAAAACATGACTGTTAGGCTGACTGGTCTGTCTAAATTGTCCTTAGGGTGTGTGTGTGTGTGTGTGTGTGTGTGTGTGTGCGTGTGCGTGTGCGTGTGCGTGCGTGTGCGTGTGTGTGTGTGTGTGTGCATGATTGTTTGTCCTGTGTGTCTCTGTGTTGCCCTGCGATGGACTGGCTCTCAGTCCAGGGTGTACCTCGCCTGATTGCCCGTTGATCGCTGGGGATAGGCACCAGCCCCCCCGGCGACCCTGCGTGGACTAAGCGGGTTCAGAAAATGGACGGATGGATGGATTTTGTGCAAAACTCACCTTTTGCAGCCTGTTGTGCTGCCATGTGGGTCTCTACTGCCTCTATGAACACTCCAAATATGAATAAACCCATCCATCAGTTTTCTGTTGACTTTAGGAGTTATGTGCCCAAAACAAGCGGTTTAAAAATGGTCCCTATTTGTGATGGGTTTTTTAGCATTTAAGTCCAAGTCGGGTTTATTACAGATGTAAATCAGTCAAGTTCCTATGCTCTGGGTCGCTGGAGCGCTGGCAATAAGCTTTTTCTGATTCTGTTTCTGATGTAGGAGTGGTGTTGATGACTTGGTGCAGACGGTGATGCACACAATCACTACTTGCAAGAAAAAACACGTGGATGTGCAAAAGATTCTAAAGAAAAAACAGAATTTGGACTGACTAGCATGTTAGCTTACACAAGTTGGTGCAGACTACTGTTATTGTGACTCTGTTTAGTGGCTGAAACTCAGTTTTCCTGTTGCTGCAGGAGTGAGCGACGAAGAAGACCAGAAGCCGGTGCGTCTGCCGCTGAAGGTGGCGGTGGAGCTCCAGCCCCGCAGCAACCACTCCTGGGCCCGTGTTCAAAGCCTAGCTCACAATCCTCGCCTCAGGTAACGTGTTAAAAGTCCCTCAACGTGTGTTTGCTTGACCATTAACGTGACTTTTTTTGAAAAATAGTTGCCCATTTTTAACAAAAGCAGTCGGGCGTCTCAGCGTCCAAGTCCAGATGTGTTGGTGGCGTGTTGTCCACCAGACAGCGTGCTGCTGGCCTCATGCCCCAACACAGCTGTGTGGAAACCAACCAGTGTGTTGTGGTCTCTTCCAACTCAGGATGGTGGTGGAGCTCCACAGGAAAGTGTCCAGCCTGATCGAGTATCTGAGACAGAAGTGGGCTTACCAAGACCAGCGAATCGTATCCTTTTAAAAAAGAGAAGTTTGCTGTTTGGCTCGGCTCAGAATCCTTGAACAAAAGGTTTTGGTCAAAGTTTGTTTGTACCAGAGCAGCCACGTTGCCCCCTGGATAATGTGCTGCTTGTTTTCCTTAATGCTGATGCTGCAGCTCAAGAGTCTGATGGAGAGGGAGGCTCTAGAGGGCAGCCAGCCCGGCACCGCCTCTCCCAGCAAAGTTCAGCAGGAGGAGCTCTTCCTGTTCCCTGCTGAGAACAGCACCCTGACAACTCTGCCTGGTGTGGCACGAGTGGTTCACTCCAAGGCCTCCTGCACTGTACACTGGCTAGAGAGTGGCAAGAGCCGACCCAGTGCCAAGGAGCTGCCAGCAGCCCAGATCCTGGGCATCCACACGGCGGCGCCGCCTCGAGGAGGCAGCAGATCTGGACGGGGAAGCTCCGCTGCAGCTAGCGCCTCTGTGGCTCTGTTGGCAGATGCTCGTCGGACTGAGCCTTCTAATTCTGAACCGTCACCTGAGAGTTCTGGGAAGGTAGAAGAGAAGAAACCTCAGTCGTTCATTTCTAGTTCCTCTCAGCAGCCTCCCACAGAAGAGGGGACTGGTGTGGGATGCTCAGAGACTGGCGTGGAGGCTGATGGCTGCTCAGCAGCGTGCCGAAGCACAGAGAAGCTGTGTGGTGGTGCAGAGAGCTCGTCGGAGCCGTGTAAAGAGGAGCAGAACCATGGGACCATTTCTGCAGATGCTAACCAGATCCCTCCAGCACAACCTCCAGTTCCAGGCTCAGAGGAGGGCACGCCACAGGGCTCGGCAGCAAAGGAGCGCACTGTTGAACTCATCAGAGAGGAGGGCTGGAGTGCCCGCGAGGGGGAGAACGTCACTCTGGCTGAGCTCTATCTGATGTTTGGGAAGCCGGGCAAACTGCTGCTAGAGTATGAGTGGCAGCCCGCTGCTGTTCCCACCAGCAACACGGAAAACGGAGCAGCTGTGGTGCCGGCCAAGCCCAACAGGACCAACAGAGTTCTGCGCTGCCTGCTCAAGCTGGTTTCCACTGAGGCCAACCCCAAACCTTTGGTGAGGCCATTAGTTGCATAAGGATTTGATCTTGTGTCATGTTTACTCCACGTTTCTCTCTAAGCTGCAGTTTGGTCGTTTTCTGCGTTTGTAAATGTAAATACACGTAGAGCCGACGTAGACGCCCATATTTTCATCCTGTTTTGCTTTGGGATTCTTTTGACTTTATTTTGAAATTCCAACGCCAGAATCACACAGGACTTCAGTTGTAGTCACTTCAGTGATCTTGACCCCGATAAACGTAAGCTGTGGTGTTGTAGATCGCTGACGCTCACCAGTAACATTGTGTTTGTGTCTTCAGGCTCCTGAAATGTGCTCCATAGCCACATCACCACTAAAGAGCCACCAGGAGGAGCAGAACCAGGCCCTGACTCCTCCAGGGAAGGGTACCATCTCTGGAGTCCGCAGCCCCAGCTGTGGTCGGCAGCAGGCCTCTGTCCGAGGGGCCAGGATGAACACGCCGAGCGCTGCTGTCTCAGGTAGAAGCTGCGACCATAGATGCTGAAATGTAGTTTCACCTTTGGGTCGACATAAATAATGCAGCTGTTCCTGCGCTCCTCAGGTGGGCGGAACCTCCCTCGGTCTCTGCTGGGTTCAGCTGCGAGCGGTGACGCAGAAGGCAGCGTGTTCGCAGTACCCACCACTCTACCGCCCAACAGCTCGCGGCACAACAGAATGTTCTCCCCGAATAAAGAAGCCCAGCTGGCCTTCAAACAGCAGCTGGACTCCATCAGTGTAAGAGAGCACCGTTTTACCCCGGGAGAATAAAACCTCATCCACATAAAGGCTGCGTGCTCAAATCCGTGCTCTTTTCTTCTTAAAGATGCAGTCCGATCTTTTCTTCTCAAGACAGAGGAAACCTCGGAACAGACAGCTCCGAAAACCTCTCGTAGTTCAGGTAAGACTCAAAAGCAGCTGAAGGTTTCTTTGTGCAAACGTGTAAAACGATGCCTGCAGCCGCGTGCTAAAATATTCATCTGCTCACAGCGAACTCTGCTGCCCAGGACGACCGGGGACACCCCTCAGCACGTCTGCTCCTTCTCCATCCTCTCTAACTCCTCTGCTACAGGTGCGGATGTTTAACCTGTCAGATTATTTCCCAAAAGCTTGTATTTAATGTGATTTCCCCTTTCTCAGCTCCAGCTGTAATTGCTCGCCCTCTCACTTCCTGTTTCCTCTTTCAGGAACTGGATCTTTCCGGCCCATCCAGACTCGCCTGGCCCCCTCCTCGCGCCCTCCCATCACCAAAACCTCCAGCTCTGCAGCAGCCAGCCAGCTCTCCAGTACGACCTGCTGACTTTTCCATTTTGGCTTCCCAAGTTAGAAATAACCATCGAATTAACAAATCCTATTAAATCTGCACTCCCCTCAGAACCTTTTAGATGACTGTAAAACGGAGTGTTTTTATAAAGAATGGTAGATCTCTTGCTTCCTTGATGGTTTGTGGCACTGTTGTTTCAACCTTGGAAGTGTTTTGTTGAGTGATTTTAGTTTTCCTCTGGAGCGTCGGGATCAGTGTTGTTGTGTTTAATCGGGTCGAGGGTGGTGATTTCCCTCTTGACACACTCATTTCAGTCATAATTAAAACGTTTTCTGAGAGTGGAGCTGTGCCAAATCTGTGTGTGTAACCCGTTAATACTCCTGCAGGTGCTATTGACCTGGCAGCCAAGTCTGCAGGCATCATCCCAGGCAGTCCCTGTCAGGAGTCGGACCCCCCCAGTGTGGATAACAGCCCTCTGCTGGCAGCAGCGCCCATCGCTGATGCTGAACCAGAACCCCAGCTCCTCCAGACAAATTCCCCAGAGGTCAGAGGAACACACACATGTTTTTAACAGCTTCACGCTGGTATATTTCTCACCTTTTGCAGAAATGTACTTTTTTTTAATGAAGTAGGAAATTTATTAGTTGTGTTTCGCAGCGACAGCTGACATTTTGGCTCTTTGAAACTTAAACTGTCCTCCTGAAACCATCGTAACTGTTGTTGATGTCGTTTCCTCAGAACGGTCTCCCCCCACCGTCTCCTGGAGCAACCGATGGTGGCGACTCCCTCCTCTCTCCCCCCAGTGTCGCCTCTCTTCTTGACATCTCTCTGCCGGGCCCCCCTGAGGAGGCTCTGGCCCCTGGAGAACCTCAAACACATATCAGTGACTCACTAATCGAGCTCGCCATCAACTCAACACACTACGGTGGGTGTGTTGCTTCAGTACGTTGTTGCCCGTCACGGCCCCAGCATGAACGAACGCGGTAAAAACATTTGTCTACCTTTGCTGCAGGTGAGGAGGCTGCTCTCTCTCCAGCTAAGCTGGGTAACGGTGACCCGTCCAAACTGCTGGCTTCATTTCCCTCAGTCAGCCCATCCGGAGGGTGGATCCCGTCTCCCAGCCACGACCCTCAGTGGTACCCTAGCGACTCGTCCGACTCCACGCTGGGATGCCTCCTCTGTACGTCTGGGCTTTATTTACTTGTGCCTTTATAGTTTGTTTTTTGAGGCATGTTAATAAACGCCAGCCCAGATGAGTGATTCAGAGGCTCTTCGTCTGGTTGGAAATCCAAAACTTTAACAGAAGAAACTCTTTATTTTCAGGTGTTTTTACTTTAATTGCCCCACAGCTTTCATGTCTGCTGCTACTATTCACTCTTACGTATTTATTTTTACCTCCTGCAGCCAGCATGGCGTCTCCTGATAAGACCAGGCGCACCCCCTCTGGCCCCTCCAGTGGCACCGCTTTGCTTGGTCCAAGCCTCCTGGACTGCAATTCCCATGATTCCTTTCAATCCCGTGGCCTTCCTGATGTAGCAGAAGTAAGTCAGACCCCGCTCCTGTTTCTCTGAAGCTGTAAGGCCTTGGTGAAATCTTAAAACTTCCTGTTTAGACATCTCAACAGCAGCAAAACGTCCCTACATCTCCAGGTTTGTCCCTGGAGCCGTCCGAAAGGTTTAGTCGTCCTCTTTGTCCCCCATGAAATGTTTTTGCACCTTTGCTGGTATTTTCATCTCTCTCGCTTCTCTCTGTTTCTGTGGGGAAATCGAGCTCTCTGATTGGTCAAGGTGGAATTAGGTTTAAATGTTTTTTTTATCATTCCAGAACCATCCTCTTCTCTCCAGTGTGTAATGGAGACGAGGCTGTTCTGTTGTTTCTACACTGCTGAGGATTAAAACCAAACTGGTCTCGATTGCAGATGGACTCTCAGCTTGCCTGCATGATGAGCGAGAGCAGCGTGGACTACATTGCTCGCTTCAACGACCTGGCTCAGGAGCTGGCTGTGACCGAGCCCTCCATCCCACCTCCCTGAGGAGCTCCGCTGAGCCACAGCCATCAGGAGGAGACGCCGCTCCATCCCTGCCCCGTTTGTAAACGTGCAATAATAACGGTGAACCTCAAGCCTCCTTCACTGAACTGTCCTACAAGTTAAAACGCTCTTTAAGAACACTTTAGATAAACAAAACCTCATAGACTTAACTAATGCTATGCCATATCTGAACAAAATACTGTGGCCCGACTTTTCTGTCTTGTCCGTTTCCACGTTCCTGTTTCACATCAACCCCCATCTCACCTGGAGTGTGACTGATTTATTTTTAGTGTTTTTTAACGAACGACCGTCGGGAGGAGGTTGGATGTGGTCGGGTTCTCCCTCTAATGGAGCTGCAGACGTGGAAACAGGAGTAGAGATCGTCTGTTCCGGTGCTCCTCGTCTCCTTCCTTTGGTTGCTTTTAAACTCTGGCTGAACTTTTTCAGAGCCGTGTACAGAATAACTTTAGATTTTTTTATTAGGCTGTCCCTGCCACGGAAGTTTGAGGTGAAAGTTTGTTTTCCCTCAGTCTGTTAAAACAGCAGCACAGTTAAATCTAAACAAATACTAAACACTCGTCGCTGCTTTTTAAATTTACACAAATTGTGTTGCTCAAAGATTTATTTCTGTTTTTCAGCGAATCATCGTTTGTTATTGATCAGATTCGATGCAGGTTTTTGGGACATTACTTTTCTAACAATAATTAAATGTAATGGATCTGATTTGCACCGTCCCTGTATGAAGTGGGTAATAAAACAGCTGGTTTTATTGTAAGGAAGGTCAGAAGAATGTAACAGGATCAAAAACTAAAGCCATAGTTGCTGAATTTGTTTTCCTTTTTTAACGAGTATCTTCGATTCCCTTTTGACTAAATGTGGTGGAACACTAGCTCAGCCTTTAGCGTTGCTCACACCCGATAAGCTCACAGATAAATGAGGATTTTGTTACTTTTGCAGGCAGATAGGACACACGTCCTCTTTTCTGTTGCTTCCATGATTTAAATAAATCCAGCATCACCAGTTAGCTTCATTGAAAACATCTTATTAGTGAGGGCGTGAGCAGCTCTTCTCGTCATTCCACAACTTTGTTCCTTTCAAACACCCTTTGAGGCTGTGAAATGTGAAAGCTCTGGTTGTTTTTCGTCATCAGTAAGAGGCGTCCACCTGGGGACGAGACTCTGCATGAGGAGTGAACCACAGCTTTTGTCTTAAAGCTGGAAAATTTCCTTTTTGCTTTTCTTGAAGGATTTATTTGTAAAAATGCCAATTCACCATGCTTTTGTAAGATAGTGTAAATGGATATTTGAACTATTTATTAACATTTCTTTTAAGAGAAAACGTGTTTTCTGTTTAACTTAAAACTGAGGCTAAAATGGAAGAAACAGTTTTTGGTTTGTAAAAAAAAGTTTTTATTCAGTGTATAAAGATCGTTATAAGCTGGTTTCTTGTGTGGTTTGTGGTTAAAACATGATTTATTGACACAATGAAACAGGAGGACTCTACTAAACCGTTCTCTAAACAAAACAGCAGCTGATTTCATTAAATCAACAGAAATGTGCAGGAAACATGGAAGCGGTGCAACACTGCCTCATCTGGACGGGAGAGTTGGAGATGATAAAACGCTTCATGACTGGGATAAGCAGCGTGGACACACAATCTGAATATTATCACAAAAAAATGTCCCAGAAATATGTTGTGCATTTCTATGGAGCTCCAGATGTGGCTAACGTTGGTGTTTATCACCTCCTAGCATCAGACGAATCATAAAACACACTGGAGTTCATAAATTAAACATAAACCAATCTCTGTGATCAAAGTCCAACTTTTAACCAGCGGTCTGATTAGCCAGGGGTTACTGCTGTTAACACAAACATCAGTCACAAGAGGTTTATATGTCTCGGATGACTTCATTTACATTTAGGTCCGTTTGGGCTCTGGAAGCAGCAGCCAGCTTCCTGGTCTGGTCTGAGTCATCAACATTCTGCTGAGTCACTCATTTTTAGGTTTCTGCTGGTTTCTGATCTTGCGAGCGCGAGAGGACATCAGTTTAAAGAAGAGCGCCGGCCACAGCGTGCGGAGGTAGATGGCCACGGAGGGCAGAAGTCCAGCCAAAACCACGTCTTTACTTCTGTGACGGACCGCCTTCAGGACGGTGGTGGCAACGTCTCTGGGGTCCCAGCCCGATTCGGTGGTTTTATCCATAACTGGAAATGGTAACGCACAGATAAACATCAAAAAAACTTCATTAATCCCAGAGGGAAATTCAGTACACACAATTCTGAGATCAGACATACATAAAAACAGTGGTGTGAAAAACTATTTGCCCCCTTCCTGATTTCTTATTCTTTTGCATGTTTGCCACTCAAAATGTTTCTGATCATCAAACACATTTAACCGTTAGTCAAAGATAACACAAGTAAACACAAAATGCAGTTTTGAAATGATGGTTTTTATTATTTAGGGAGAGAACAAAATCCAAACCTACATTGCCCTGTGTGAAAAAGTAATTGCCCCCCTTGTTAAAAAATAACCCAACTGTGGTGTTTCACACCTGAGTTCAATTTCTGTAGCCACCCCCAAGCCTGATTACTGCCACACCTGTTTCAATCAAGAAATCACTTAAATATGAGCTGCCTGACACAAGGGAAAGTGGAATACTTGATAGAATTTAGTAGGATACTCCCCACTTCAACTCACACTCCCATTCAGTAGGTGGTGGAAATGCACCTGAAAGTTGGTTGCCACCCGCCAATTAAAGGACAGAAGAAGAAGAAGAGAAGTAGACCAAAAGCACCTCAAAAGCGAGACATCATGCCAAGATCCAAAGAAATTCAAGAACAAATGAGAACAAAAGTAATTGAGATCTATCAGTCTGGTAAAGGTTATAAAGCCGTTTCTAAAGCTTTGGGACTCCAGTGAACCACAGTGAGAGCCATTATCCACAAATGGCAACAACATGGAACAGTGTTGAACCTTCCCAGGAGTGGGCGGCCGACCAAAATTACTCCAAGAGCGCAGAGACAACTCATCCGAGAGGTTACTAAAGACCCCAGGACAACTTCTAAAGAACTGCAGGCCTCACTTGCCTCAATTAAGGTCAGTGTTCACGACTCCACCATAAGAAAGAGACTGGTCAAAAATGGCCTGCATGGCAGATTTCCAAGACACAAACCGCTGTTAAGCAAAAAGAACATTAGGGCTCGTCTCAATTTTGCTAAGAAACATCTCAATGATTGCAAAGACTTCTGGGAAAATACCTTGTGGACTGATGAGACAAAAGTTGAACTTTTTGGAAGGCAAATGTCCCGTTACATCTGGCGTAGAAGTAACACAGCATTTCAGACAAAGAACATCATACCAACAGTAAAATATGGTGGTGGTAGTGTGATGGTCTCGGGTTGTTTTGCTGCTTCAGGAACTGGAAGGCTCGCTGTGATAAATGGAACCATGAAGTCTATTGTCTACCAAAACATCCTGAAGGAGAATGTCGGCCATCTGTTCATCAACTAAAGCTGAAGCGATCTTGGGTGCTGCAGCAGGACAATGACCCAAAACACACCAGCAAATCCACCTCTGAATGGCTGAAGAACAACAAGTGGCCGAGTCAAAGTCCTGACCTGAATCCAATTGAGATGCTACCTTAAAAAGGCAGTTCATGCTAGAAAACCCTCAAATAAAGCTGAATTACAACAATTCTGCAAAGATGAGTGGGCCAAAATTCCTCCAGAGTGCTGTAAAAGACTCGTAGCAAGTTATCGCAAATGCTTGATTGCAGTTATTGCTGCTAAGGGAGGCCCAACCAGTTATTAGGTTCAGGGGGCAATAACGTTTTCACACAGGGCAATGTAGGTTTGGATTTTGTTCTCTCCCTAAATAATAAAAACCATCATTTCAAAACTGCATTTTGTGTTTACTTGTGTTATCTTTGACTAATGCTTAAATGTGTTTGATGATCAGAAACATTTTGTGTGACAAACATGCAGAATGAGAAATCAGGAAGGGGACAAATAGTTTTTCACACCACTGTAGACACATGACAAGAATTGCTGACTGTGGTCATTCGCAACCCGAGTCGCGCTACAGTGACAGATCAAGAGGGCTTATATGAGGATAGAGTCGGGGGGAGGGGAAACAAGGCACTTCAGAGTTACCTTCCACAGAGAGGGCAGCTTTGCTATGCAAAAAAACACCTCAGACAGAAATGCACACAGACTTCAGACATTACACAACATGTGTCCACTAGGTGGGAAGGAAGGGTTGGGACTCTCCTCACTTCAGTGCGTGCAGCCGCATGGAGCAGCGCTCATCACCTCTGTGTGGACAGGGGAGGGAGATAATGGGTTGGAGGGCACAGTGACTCCTAGATACGGTTCCACGGCCTTCACCGGTCAAGTCCTGCCAAGGCTGGGATAGGGAGAAAGAGTTTCCATAGCGACGACAGCATTCCACATTTCTTCTGAGGGGGGAGTTATCACTTCAGCCTCACAGGCTCCAAGGGCACCAGATTCTGATAAGAACTTGTTTTGGGGCCAGACAGAGATAATTTCCTCTCTGCCTTAGAGAAAATCAGAGATGAAACTCAGTTTTCTATTTCTAACGTTTGTTTTAAAGACATTTTAATCTATATAAAACTGATCAAACAAATGTAAAAAAAATAAATAAAAATGCCTCTAGTCACCCTTTACAGATTTATTCTGCTGTTGTTGTGAAACATAAATGTTTCAGATCAACAAATGCCTCAGACAAAGATAATCTGAGTAAACACAAAATGCAGTTTACAAATGATAATTTTGCTAATTAAAGAGCAAGACACCCCCAAATCCACTTTTTTTTAAATTTTTTGCTGATAAACGATATAAACGAGTGTCTAATCGTGCTTTAGTTAAAATTTAAAAATTCTGCCTAAAACCTCAGTGTGGCGCCCTCTACAAGTAAAAACGCTGCACTACATTTGAATTTAAATGTGCCATCGCTATTGGCTTAGAGGTCCCCTATGATGTTAGCTGGTACCATATGATGTCATAATGCCGCTGTGAGCCTGTGTGTGAGTAGGGTGACCAGATGTCCTGCTTTGTGCGGGACAGTCCCGCATTTTCATTATTTTTCACGTGCCATGCAAATTGAGACTCATGTCCCGCATTATTGACAAGTTTCCCGTTTCGAGTTTCAATCTCATAAAATAAACTGAGGAGAAATCTGCCTGTTGCTGTCAATCAAACATAGGCGGGACTTTAACGCAAATCCGGAGCGTGTGTGGAGCGCGCCCAAACCACCAAAACAAGCGTGAGTGAGCATGGAGGAGAAAACGCTGTAAAGTCGTGAATTAAACGTGTTCAGAGATACTCGACAGTCTTTGTTGTTTCAGAGTCATTTTTTCATGTCTCGGCGCGGAGTCTGATATGAAGAGGTCAAAAGCAAGTTTTCCAGTAATTAGACAGGTCCATGATAAACACAATGGAGGCTCTAACACAGACAAGGTGCTGCGCTTTCAGATACCTGCGTACATGCCGAGCCCCTTACAGCACAGTGAAGAGATAATGAGAATAAATGAAAGCTTTGATCACTTATTCTCAGAAATTTGAGGCAAAAAGTAAACTATTATTAGATTAGATCTGATTTTTTTAGAGAATAGAATCTGATGTTTATTCTCTCACCTACAATCTAGAAGAGATTTGTTGTCATGTTAAAAAAATCATTTTGGTTCTGAATTAAGAAGAAAATAGCAAAAAGGTATGGATATTTTTTCAATGAGATGCTGATGTTAGTGGAAAATGTATTAAAAACAAACATAAATAGGTCTAAAAAATATTACTGGTACTTTTAATGTCATTCTGTTGCGGAAAACATTCAATGAAAACTCTGAAAAGCTGCTTAAACCTGCATGTTTTTATTATTGTGGGCCTATCTATATTATTAATATGATCAGAGCCACTATAAGGCCCAAAGAGCCTGAGTCATGTTGTGGTAACTTGAGAGGAACTGTGAAATAGTAAAGCTTTTGCTGTATGCTTGTTCGTGTTGAATTCCAATAAAATATATACAAGAAATATATGATGATAATAAGAATAATAATTTTTTGTATATGTAACAGTGATGTTAGGGCTGAAAGGCAGAATATACGTATATATATTTTTCCTCATTACATTGGAACTTCACGTTGTCCCACATTGAGTAGTCTCTGACCCACATTTGGCATGTTGGGATCTGGTCACCTTATGTGTGAGTGCATTTGTTAGCAGCCCCTCCCTCTCAGTCTGCCAGGCAATGCCTCCTTGTGGCATATTTTCCCAACAGGAAACGGGAATGGAGTTAAGACTCTGGTAAGAGGCTGTCCAAAAGCAGCCTGCTCCTTCGTGAAAAAGGAATTTTGTCATTCCATTTAAATGTGAGAAAGTTGGGTTCACATAAACAGCCACATTAGACCTGTAGAGTAAAGAAATCACTTCACTAAGACCCTTTCTGACAACATGGCGTACGCTAAAAGATCTCAGAAAGCAACACATCAGAAAAACCCACAAACACTTTGCTTGGACAATTTATAAATGCGATTTCTTCTCATTCGATTCAGTTTATATATATAGCGCCAAATCACAACAAGAGTTGTCTCGAGGCACTTCACAAAGTACACGTTCCAACTGAACCTACTTATCAGTTCATTATTCCAATAGCGTTTTCTATAGTTGATGTCACCGTGCAAGGACTTCAGGGTAGGGTCATACCAACAAGTGGCATTTGACAATAGAGAACGTACACTTTCAGACCGCTTGGACATCGATGTAAAGGCATAAAATGAAGGAAGTTGTGTTGACGAAGAAAGACATAGCAGAGGCTTTTTTTTATGGCGACTCTGATAATTATCGATTGCCAGAACTGAAGCGCTGGCTTGAATTTCACGGTCAAAGTAAAATCTAACTCCCGTTAGTAACGCTGATGATTTAAACACCGTTATTCCCATCACTGCTCCTTCTTGAGTAATATAAAAATAAGTTCATTAGTCACAGTGCTGAAGTAGAATTTTCTCATAGGTAGTTTTTTAATAGTCAGGTTATTATTTATGTCCCTACTTTTTACAAACCACCCACCTCTGGTCAAAAGCTTTTTTCCTATATGTTTGGGTGGACGTGTTGTTTGGCCGAGCCGTAAATCTGGACCCCTCCATTAACACTGCTGTATCCTGGATAACTCCACATCTGAGCGCGTCACTAGGTCCGGCGTCGGTCATTCTTGAAAGTAGGACCTGTCGCTCCCGGAAAATGTACGGAACAAATATACGTGCTTTTCTTGATCTGCTCCACAGTTAAAATCCACTCTTCCTCATAAAAACTACCACCGCTTTGCTTTTTCTGTCATAGGCTTAGCCAATTTCCCTTTCCAGCTGTTTCATGTGGCCATGGATGTTACCCGGCGATAAAACGTTAGCCTGGCCTGCCAGACTTCTCCTCTGCTTAATTCTGCACAGAGAAAAGGGTCTGGGAACTCTCCCATTCAAATAACCCCACCCCCTGGGAATTCTAAACGAGCCAATCGGCGCTGAGTAGCGTACGTCACACACCATAACGCAGAGTTTGTCATAAACATGGCGACTGATGCAGAGTTTTCTGCAGCTCTTTCCTCTGTTCAAAATGACTTGACTGTCTTTAAAACCACAAGTAGAAGCGCTAAAAGCATTTGTTCTAAAAAAATAAAAGATGTTTGCGCCGTCGCCAGACGCCATTTTAGACTACAGCAAAAAAACTACAGCGTCACGCGGTACAGTAGGCATTTCCATCTTTTTTCTGATTGGTTGTTTTTGAGCTGGCTAGTCCCGCCCTTCATGTGCCTCTCTGCCTGTGAGTAACCAGACTCTTTCTCTGTGCAGAATTAAACAGAGGACGAGTCTGGCAGGCCAGGCTAATAAACGTCTCATCCCACATCTGATCTGGGTATTTAGAGTCAGATTAGCTCCTCCCCCAGCACCCGAGCATATTCGTTGCTGTTTGACAATCTTTAGGAGACGAAAAAAATCAACTTTAGCCAAATGGGAGCAACTCAGACCCATAGAAAACTATAATAAATGCCCACTTGATTTTATGACCCTGCATCCCAGACTGCTTTGCGACGTTACGTCATGATCTATTTTTAGCTACTGTAGAAAACCCTATTAGTTAAAAGTTTCCTAATGTAAAGAAACCCAGCAGAGTGCATCGAGTCACTGACTTGTTGCACCAGAGACTTAACAGCAATCCCCATACTAAGCAAGCATGTAGCGACAGTGGAGAGAAAAACAACCTTTTAACAGGAAGCCACCTGTTGCGACCGACTGGGAGTTTGAGTTACTGCACTTCCTGTCACCTCCTCACCTCCGTACTTGGAGCCGTCTCCAGTGACTGCATTGATCGACAGGTTGGTTCGGATGTAACCCGGGCTGATCACCGTCACGGGGATTCCAAAGCACTCAATCTCAGCTCGTAGGCAGTCAAAGTAGGCCTGGGTGGCGTGCTTGGATGCTGCATCTGAAAACAAACACTTATTATGCTTCCCCTGGCAAAGAAAAAGGAATATGTCAAGTTAACATAAGATGACTTACAGGCAGATCTGTAGGGAATGGCTAGCTTTCCTTGAACGCTGCTGATGACAACAATGTGGCCACTGTGTCTCTGAATCATTGAGGGCAGGAGGGCTGTGAGGGAGAACAGAAGCAGAGATGATGAGTTGTGTGTTAGTGAATTTACAACACGGTTGAAAAGCTCCAAAAACCCACACATGACAGAAGGCACATGCATGTATTTATTACTGAAATCCATGAGCACCGACTCAGGTCAAACTTCTGGAGTCAGAGCCATCACCATATCTGAGAAGGGTGGTGAAACGTTCTAACCTTGAGTGAGAGCAATGGTTCCAAAGTAGTTTGTTTCCATAACGTCTCGTTGAACTGACATGTGGGTGTCCACTATGTTGCCACGGTAACTGACTCCAGCATTGTTCACAAGGATGTCCACTCGTCCAAAGCACTTTAAGATCTCTTCTGCAGCCTTGTCCACCGTGTCCGCTTTAGCCAAGTCGAAGATAACAGCACAGGGAGTGAAAGTCTGTTGGATGGGTGGAAAAAAGCAGTGGGTAACTTTTTTTATTGGTAACTCCTTAATTATATGTGTAGAGAGGACGTAAATAATGGGAAAAGTAACTTTCAAAAAATACTTTTGGCTTCAATTGTCAAAAAATCAGCAAAAAAGTAGTAATCAGAGTATCATGGATATACTGTATCTGTGTGTCCATGTGGATGTTTTTACACACCTGTTTTTGTTGATCTGTTGAACTTCCTTTGAGGTCCTGGACCACCTGCTGCAGACGAGCTGCATCTCTCCCACATAGGACGAGCCGAGCACCTGCAGCGTGGAAAGCCTTTGCACACTCTACAGCACAAAACAAGCAACTACTGCTATGAGACCACGTCATCCTTGTACCGTCCTGCTGAAGTTAGGTCTGGGGAGCATCTACTAGTGAGGTGGAGTAAATAAACATCAGGCTGACCTTTTCCAAGTCCAGAGCTGGCCCCTGTGATGACAACAACCGCACCTTGTACTGAAGTTCCTGCTTTGAGGCGAAGAAGGATCCGATACAGCAGCAGGACTCCCACACCTGTTAGTACTAGGGGAAGCAGTCCTCCTCCCACGACGCGATCCATGACTGACAAACTCCACACAAGCCACTAGCAATCACAAACCCACACAGGATTAACATTATTAAAATAAAGAGTCTGTGAACCTCTCAAAGCTTGACCACATCAGTTCTACATGCATCTGAATGAATGTGAAGTGTTCTTGTGCGAGAAGATGGCGGCATTTACACACAGGATGTGGAAATGGACAACAGGTAGTTCCTTTGAAGATAATTATTGCATTTTTGTAGAAAGGTTATTAACATTTGATATCTTACCTGTTGTAGATGCCCATTTAAATGACTTCAGTTTGCTGATAAGAGTGTTATTTTTACTGGATCGACAAGCTAACTGCTAGTGTGATCACAACCAAAATCAGAGTGGATCTCTGCAACCTTAACATAACTAATCTGTTTATCCAAACTGAGGTTGTTCAAGGAGCGTTCTGTGACATATATTCATTATTGCCTTTTTCACAGAAACACTTCAAATAATTCCTCAGCTGGACATTTACCAGCTGGAAATACTTAGTGGCCACTTTTAACCTTCTTCATCATCTTGACCACTAAAAAGTTGCTATCCTTGAAATCTCGTTAATATTATTACGCGTGTTGTTAAGAAACCCTTTTAAGATTTGCGTAAACAATCTGGAGTGAACCTATCCCTTCATCAAGTTAGCATACACGGCTAATGCTAACGTTAGCTATCAGACGTGGTTTTAACTAACAAACACTTATTTGCGCAAAAACATAAAGCAGGAAAATAATAAATCACCCTAGTTGTTGTCCTGCGAAGCACCGTATCAGATTAGCTCCTGGTTGAACCACGTCCGTGTTTCTCATCGAGCTACAGCCCGTGGCGCAACCGCGGAGCATTGTGGGAATTGAAGTTCACATATTTTTTAACTTGATCTAAAAACGCTGTTTTATGATTAAAATTTCACATAATTTATTATGCTTCTTGTCACAGCTTGGTCTTAAATTAATATCTGCTGAAGCTGATATTCAGATAGTTTTTCTTTTATCCACTAAGAAACGCAACCAGCACACAGACGTGCGTCACGCGGGGGCAGACCTGCAGCTTCTTCCCAGCACCTGTTAGTGGATGTAGAAACGTGCAGCTCTGAACACAAATCAGCAGACTTACCTAATTATGTTGTCATTCCTCTTCACGCCTCACATGCAGAAGAACCAATGTGGATGTGGTCATAAATGGAATGATTAAGAATGAGCTATTTAAAGTGTAAACAGAATGACAAATGCAAAAACATTACACACCTTTCTGGATTTTCTACAACCTCCAGCATCAAAGCTGAGCCCACAAGTCTGGGGAGAAAAAGAAAAGTTGCTCTCCAAGGTCATTTCACACAAATGCTACACTATTGTTAGTTGTAGCACAGAAATAAATATCCAAGCTCTTGCTTATTGATTTACAGCATCCAAACTTGAACATTTACAACTGTTTTTATTCAGTTCCAGATTCCTGGTTAATGGGAAACATCTCTGGAAAAGATTCCCAGTTGAAGTATAATTTTCCTTTGACCACAGCTGACATGAAGGTAAAAAAACCCTGAGCAGACTTTTAAATTAGTTCTATTTCAATTCTGTTTAGAGAATAATCAATCAATTCATGTATGAATTTCATTTTATTATCCAGCTGTTTTCTCCTATTTCACAACTCATCCTTCATGTTTACATATGCTCCTCTTGAGCATCAGTGGATAAACAAATTATAAAAATTACATCATTTTTAAACTTCTGCAGTGCTGAAGTCTCTTCAGTCCGCTTGTGGTTGTTAGTGTAATACACGATTAGAGCCGAACATGGAGCCGTAGTACTGTCTTCCACAATCTTAATAGGATTCATTAACGACAGACAATCTACTTAAACAAGACAGTTTGACTGAGGGCCATTTGTTCTTTTCCAGACATCAAATAGAATCCATTTATTTTGAAGAAAAAATAAAATAAAATACAGAAAAGTTTGTTTGAAATATCCTAATATTTAATCAAACATTAATGTACTTGATCAGCAAAAAACGGATACAGCAAAACTACAAGGGAAAGGGGAAAGAGCATTGTACAACAAATGTGTCTGTTCCATTTTTAATCCAAAACCATTCCTTTCAGAGGAACTGAGGTCATGTCCTTTTGCACAAGCTTGTGACAGAGAAGCGGGTGGAGGGGGCTGGCGCGAAAGTACTATGGCAATAGGTGTGCTGCTGTCACATAGAAGTACATGGAAAAAAATCCCTTCTAGTTTTAGCTATATCCCTCTGATCAATGTTCCAAGTGGAAGCACCCACCCTCTGTAGAGCTAACTGCTGAGCCTGAACGGGACTTCCACTTTTCTAACATCCGGGGGTGAGTATGTTGTTTTGTTAATTTTTTTTTTTCCTTTTTTTTTTGATGGTTCTTAAATCTTCAGAGTGCACTCATACCACATAGAGTTCATAGATCTTCTTGGCGCAATACGCCAGAGCAGCCAGTGCTATCGTATTATGGAGTCTCTTTCTGTGGACGTCATCCCTGCGTACCAAAACCACGGGTGTTGAGGAGGTCAGTGTATGCAGGGGCAGCCGTGAGAGTTTTTGGCTGTTGTATTCCACTTGGTACTTGCAGCAGGGATCAAACTGCCATGAAATCCCATAGAGCGCAGCACAGGCCACACTGAGGGCACCAGCTGGCAATGCTACATAGCGCGAGTATTCTGCAGGCAGCGAAAGTGGCGTCAGGAGGCATGCAGCGCCTGACAACACAGCCGTCTTGTGCAGGCAGTTCCCCACCGTAATCCAGCGGGCCGTCTCATCCCCGATCCGTGTGGGCTCAATAACAATATATTTATACTGGGCCTCCAGTGCCTGCTCCAGCTCGTACTCAAACTGGTCCTGCGCATTCTCCCCATTGTAGATCTCATGTACAATGTAGCAGTCTGACGCAGCCATCACTGCCCTGCACACAATCAAATACACAGGCTGGTAATGAAAAGACAACAAGACAGGAAATTAATAAGAAAACTCAATATTATTTTTGTAACCAACTGCTTTGTTTTAACCACAATACCATCATTCTGTGGCTGTTGCTTTTTATTAAAATACCTATGACCCGTTTAGTTTTACTTTCTTATTAAAATGTAAACATTGAGGCATAATGAAGGTTTTTACTTGATTATAAATTAAGTTTATTCCCATTCTTGGGAGATATTTTTGAACAGTTTGTGTGCTGTCTTTGTAAATAATAAAATAAGTGTTTACCAACCTGTTATAAATAAATATGAACTTGGCAAACTTAACTTATTTCCTGTCTGTGGTTTGACTAAAGTTGAGCAAATATCTCTCACTATTGAACGGAGAAATATTAATAAATAGCTCATATCCACTTCTACTTTTAATCTATTTTAACCCGAATTTTGAGAAAGGTTCAATGTCTTGCGGCTGCTTGCACGAAAAAAGAAGAAAAAAAGTGTGAGTCACAATCCCACCCAAACTGATAAGACGAGGAAACCCACACTTATTTGTGCTGTTTAAATGTTCTTTAAAGAAGCAAAACATTTTTAGGGTTCTTATATATTTGCCCAAACAAATTCAAGCACTTTAAGTCATTTCCCTAAAGTTTTTCAGGACTTTAAACATCTTACATTAGGGACGATTAATGAGCAGCAGTACATATATGATCAGTTATTGAACCATTTCTCTTATGTAAATATTATCCTATAACCATTTTCAGGCACAGCTTGAATGATTTTGAAACTAATTACTACATTATTTACTTGAAAATACCACATTAAAATCAGGCATTCAAGGATTTTAAGCAGTAAGAACAATTGCTTTCATAGTAGTTTCCATAAATTCGTTAATTAATATTTAAAGTGCCATAAAGCTACACACGTTCCCCTCAAATAAACAATAATATTTAGTATCAAAATTTGTTGGTGAAGAGAAGAAATTCAGTTAAATAACTTCACACGCTGCCATCACACATTCACACAAAGTTACCAGGTTGGTTGTTTATTGACAAGTTTGGTCCCATTTTCAAACCTGTCTGTTTCTTCACCTTATGTTACAACCATAGACATAAGATAGGTAAAACGCGAGAGGCTGATGATGGTCTACACTGAGGTCCTCCAGTGAGCGCTGCGTTAAGGACAAACAATCCCAACTTATAATGACAGCGTGCTGATGGTAAAATACAGAGTGAAGGACAATCAAATACCAGACATAATAATTTCAATGTATTTTAGTCTGGGACAAGTGTACCAGAGCGGATGGGAACAACATATTCTGAAGTTGGAGGACTGACTGACCAACGAACTTCAGGACCATTTTTACTTTCAGAGTAGCTCGACTTAAAACGGCGCACAGCCGCAGCAGAGACTGATTTGGGCATTTTATGAAACCCGCAATGTCACAGAAGTGTCGGTACCAAAGCACGGTCCAATGCAGCTTCTTCCACCGTTATTAAGTCTGACTGAAACATTGAAAACAACCCATGACTAGATAAGTTTGTTCCCTGCTAACAACGGAAGCTAGCCGCCAGCTAATGTTAGCTAACCATGGAGTAAAATAACGCCTTTTTTATGTTGGCACTGGAGTTTGAATCCTAAATTAGATGCATGTTCGAGAACAGGATGTGACATCGACTAAACTTTGTCAGTTATGAAAATAATTTCGCTTTATGGCAAAAAAGCAGAGTAACTGACCTCTCCCTGCTTACTGGGACACCGCGCCTCCTTCCCAGCGACGCCATGTTGGAAAAAACAACTGTGATTTCGGTTGACGTAGCCTCAGCGCAAAGAACCCTGGGTATTGTTGTGTGCAAGTCCGATCTACGCATCTACAAGGCTCGTTTTCAGACCACTATTCCCATAATGCAACGAGGGCAGCGTATCTGTAGTACGTATTTTGTTACAGAACACAGAAGTTTGAGGTCTTTAATTAACCTAAAACTAAAAAAGTATCAAATATTGATTATATGCAACACGATTGAACTACAAATATATTTTAAAAAATCCAAGCTCCTTAACAGCTCCATTTCGGAAGCCAATTCATTAGGCTTTGATGCGCATGCTAACGTTGGTTATGTATTGTAACCCAGGCGCGTTGCAAGCTTTTCAAAAGTGTGGGGGATGTTTTCTGTGCCTGAAATAATTTCATGTTATTCATCTTGTTAGTTTAACTTCCATAATAGTTGAACTTTAGACGTGTCACGTATGTCTCCGTTTTAAACATGTTTAAACTGTTCAGAATACAAATCCGGGCTCTGTCTCTTAGATTGGTGTAACTAAAGTTTGTACTGAATGAAACTTTACATTAAACAGGGGCATGTCCAGGGAGTGGCCTGGGGTAGCACATGCGACCCTTGGAATCTGAATGGCCACCCCAGGTGCCAACACACTAATTTACCTTTAAATAGGATTTTTGTTGTCCACAAAAGGCTTGTGGGGGGGGGGGGGGGGGGGGGGAAACCATAACCTTTGGTGCCACCCATGCACAAAGTTGTGCCTCACCTGGGCCACCCCATTTTACAGGATCTGGACACGCGACTGACATTAAACCATGTTGAAAAGAAAAGGATCCAATTAAATCGTTTCCCCCTCATTTACAGCCAGGAAGTACAGCGCAGTGCGCGTGGCTCTGGGGTTAATCAAGTTTAGTTGTTTCTCTTTGCAACAATCTTCACAGGAAGGTAAACAGTTAAATGGCAGGTTACAAATATTTCCATTTGACTGTTTATTTTGATGGATAAACTCAAGGATGTTAGTTGTTTTGAAAGAATTACCCCGACGCACACTGATGCGCATGGATGAGCTGATATTTTAATCGTTACGCACATCACAGCGGTAACTTGATTCCCATCAGAGCTTTATACTGGACACTGTGTTCAGCGAGGCTCGGAGCGCCCGCGGTGGACAGTGGGCTGAAGATCTGTAGAGGGGTTCGCAGCGCAGTGCAGAACCACAGTGCATGCGATAAGATTTCCTCCCACTGAAGCGGTCTGGAAACCCGGTCTCTCTGAGGGATGTGTCACTTGGAAAAATTTTCTTTTTATGAAATTATGAAACTTTGGCTGAACAGCGCTTGTTCCCGTCTCTAATATGGAGACGCATGACGCATCCAGTCTGAGGCAGAATAGCCTCTTCAGCTCAGCAAGCACCTGTAGAGACATTTGATCACGCACAAAGTTTATGTGGAGCAGAAGCGGTCGGGCCACGGCAGGTGAAACGTTCCTAGCCTACATGAAGTGAAACTGTTTAATTGTAACATTAATATGTTACTGGACATGCTGGTCTGGTTGGTTAGACCAGTGTTTGAAGTGGAAAACACACACACACACACCCACCCACACACCCACACACACACCCACACACACACACACACACACACACACACACACACACACACACACACACACACACACACACACACACACACACACACACACACGCACCAATTAAAATAATGCTGATAGCATGGACTAGCAGGTGATGGGTTACGTATTTAAATGATGATCAGGCTGCTGTAAAATGTAATCTCCATCCACATCCAGACACAATTATCCTCTGTTCTTTCTCTATTTGCTCTGCTCTTGTCTGGGCTGATGTAGCTGACGGAGCGCGCGGCACGCCTAACTAGTGGCTGCTGCACATTTTACGCATTTGGAGAGGTGGGCTGGATGCTTTTACTGGAAGATGGTCCACTTAATGCACGGGTGTAGACTACATATTAATGACAAATGAATGAAAATTAAATTGTGAGTTTTTACTTCATATTTTAGAAATTAAAATGACGGGGGAAAACATTTATGACGTCTTTTTAAACGAAATTTTCTAGCACGTCCTGCCTGCTTCACTTAAGTCACTGCTTATTAAGGTCCGTCCAAAATTACCGTGGCCCACCCAAAAATGAAAACCTGGCGCCGCACCTGTGGCATAATCCTCTGCAAATTGTTGTTCTTCACTTTATCAAACTCAGACTTTGTACAGCTAATGTCAAGATGTAAAATTATGAATTCAGTCGAGCTCTTCCGTCCCTCCCTCTCCTGCTCTCCTTGAAACCCGACATCGGCTGTCAGAAGCGGGAGGTGAAGAAGGAGATGAGGCGAACAGAGTGAGTGCGACGTAAAGAAACCAGACTGGTGTGGAGGTGAGCAAAACAGAAGGAAAAGTATGGGTGTTGAATCCCCCACGGGTGTGACGCCCATGCGAGCGACCGGTACCGGCTGCTGTCACCTGGTTGTGAGCAGCTCTCTGCTGTCTGAGGGTAGGCCCCGCCCACAACGCTGCGGCCGCTGTGGCTCCCAGTGTTTTCTTTACTGTGGGAAATGGGTAATAATGGCTCTTTGATGGGAACAGGTTGCCGACCCCTGGTATAAGATCTGAGCTGGTAAAACAAAAATCCTCATCAGCAGGCTTTTTTGAAAGTGGGGGGGACACAGCTGCCAATCACAAATTTTGCCGGGGACATGTCCCCGGCGTCCCCGGTTAAAATGACGCCTATGTTCTTGGCGGCAAACAGCGAGGCCAAGTCCGGCTCCAGTGGAGGAACGGAAGGCCAGCCTTGGTCGGAGAAGCCCTCGACCTTGGTAATGGGCGCATATGTGGAAATTGGCGCCTTGAGCTTAGCAAGTTCGGAGAAAGCGGCGGACCAGCAGCTCATGGCAGCGGGGAAGCGTGGCCAGATGGGGTCTGGACAGCACGTCTGTGTTGCCCCGAAAATTCCCGCCAAATCATCTGCTTCAGGCGGAGCCGGTTCTGGCACGGCTAGCTCCTTGCGGACCGCAGCCGCGGAGATGATGGCAGGCAGCTCCTGGAGCAGTGCTCTAACTGCTGGCAGGGAGGAGCGAGAAGTCAGTGGAGCAGAAGGACCCGCTGAGCGAGGCTCATCGACCTCCGCGTTGTCCAGGAGGGAAGAAGGGCTATGGCAGCCAGCCTCGTCGTACTCCTCACTGTCGATGACATCGTCCAGTCGGTTGAAGCCAGCCGGCTCCTGGCCGACGTTGAAGAACTGTAAGGCCTTGTCCAGCGAGTACGTGTCAGCCACCGGAAATTCCTCGTCGGCGGCGGGGGTGAAGTACTCGACCCGGCGGATCTTTTCAGCCACGGGCAGAGCGGCACAAAACAGGCACGAGGCCTGGGGGGTCAAGGCCAGGCCAGCGTGATGAGCCCCGAGACAGACCTCACACTTGGCGAGCAGGTCGCCGCTGGAGATGGAGCCCGTCTGGCAGGCCGGGCAGGTCCTGGCGTCGCTGGACATGGTAGGTGAGTAGAATGCTTCTTGGATAATTGCTCTTTAAAGGAAGCTCTTAAGCTTGGCTTGAAGAGATAATGGAGGCGAACAGTGGAGTCGCTCCACTTATTTACCCACAGGGGTGCCCACCATTGGTGGGCGTACATTTAAGCTCTTCATGACTGGCTGATGCTGAGATCATCCTTCCAATAGCAGCTAGCTTAAGGGCTAAGACTAGACGAAATAGAACTCGAAAGTCCCCAGTGGCAAAATGTGAGATAAACTGATCTCTTGCCAACATATCCTGGTTATTTTCATCTGCTAGGGGATATGCTTGTGTAGACAAATGCCTCAATGCATTTCCAAACTCCCGTGCAGTCCCCCCACTGCACCCCCACCCCCCGTTAAACCATGCAGGTTGTATCCCCCCCATAACCCGACACCTGTTCTTGTGCTGTAACCGGATGCGCTCTGGATGTAACAACGGAGAAGGGTTGAACCCACCTGCTGTGCTACGGACAATGATGTAAATCGCCTCAAGGTCCATTGAGCATGTAATCAGACAATCCTGCCTCTAATTGCATCTTTATATACTGACATGACCTCAGCAGTTCATTATGACATTTTAACCTTCAGAGTTTAAATAAACATTTTTTTCCATATAGGTACAATTATATTCCAAAATCAACACATCTGAGGGTGTTTTAGGAAAGATCAGAATATCTTTTATAGAAATTCTGAATTTCATTTCAGGTAGAGAACATAGCCATGTTATTGAAACCAGTACACATACATGGAACGCAGGTGGAACGGCATTTGAGAATTTGAAGATAACAATATGAAACCTCCAAATTTGCATTTCATTAAAATCATCAAAAAATACATCGGCTTTCCTTAAACCACCTATCAATAAAACTAACAAAAAAGAAAAGAAAAAAAGATAAACTAATTGACCTTTCTGACTTGTATCTAGTTTAAAAAACAATATTAATATAAAAACATGCTACTCAAAACTAGCGGACTACAGAATCAGTCTAAATACATCTCTGATGTCTCATATATAAATATTGCTAATGCTGAAATGTTTGACTTGTATCTCAATTAATGTGTCTGAATATTTTCTTTATGGAAATATTGCATGAATTAATGGCTAAAGATATTTTAAGCAAAAATAAACAAAATGATCAGAGACATAAATATGTTGAGTGATATCCGAAAACTGAAAAAATAACGTTATTGAATGTTCTGCTAATTTAAAGTCAGCATCAAATTTTCACAGGCGCTCCAATTTCATTTATCCTGGTGTAATTTCTCACATGACCACTAGATGAAGTCAAAACAAAGCCCAAACAAGATGTGGGAATGGGAAAACAAATAAAAACATTTCATTTTCACTGTAGGCTTCACAGCATTTTAAAAACAGGGACTATGATTAGTGACTAGGCATAGAAAAACAATTGTTTACACTTTAATTACTTTTTGCTAGTTTCAGCTTCAGTGTGGGGCTGCACAAGTCATAACCAGAAGAAAAACTTTGATTAGACAGCAAATAATTTTTTTAGTCCATTTAGTTTTTCTTCCATTTGCTGAAGTACCAGCATAGTTCTCATATGTATATTAGGTGATGTATATGGGTTATGGAAATGTTTTTACCACCACTATTAGAATAATTATTAAGTGAAACTCATGCTGCAGTCTGAGAAGTTACATTGGTTCATATCTAGATTCAAGTTGTAGTGTTTATACTAAAACTATTAATTATTAATCCTGTTTGGATGTATAAAGTCACTATTAGCACAATGCATCAAAATGAACATTTCACCAAATTAAAACAAGCAGCTTCCATTAAAAATGAGGGTAAATGTTTTTCCAGATTTGTTTTAGTAAAACATACCAAACTTTACACAACCTAGCATAAATAACTGAATGACAAGCTTTATTTATTAAGAACAAGTAGACAGAAACGAAACAATATCAAGTATAAAACAGTAACGAGAATATTTTGACACATTTATAGACAGAGCCACTTGCTCTAAACATAAATCAGGCATTTTACTTTTTAACAAAACAAATAGAAGAAAAACATCTAAAAAACAAACAACAAAAAGAACCCCACATCCTAAAGACATAATGCCTTAGCCCATTTCAAGGCATTTACCACCCAAAGAAGTTTTTCCAAGAGGACTTATTGCAATTCTCAGTACGAGTGTGTTGAGCAGCCTGAGGTATTTTTTCTGCCCAACACTTAAGATTGTCTGCAGCCATTTTTCCATGTTTGTCAAGTATTCCTTTGACATCAGTTTTTTTAATCCTTTTAAATCCCTGTTAGAGCAGAAATGGTTTCAATGAAAAAAGAAAAGTATTTTTCTGAAATAAAGACTAAAACCCCCTTCCCTGCCCTGGATTTGAATGCTGATTTAAAACCACACTGCTGTAATGAGCTGCACAGATGCCTGTCTCCAACATCAACACTAAAGAAACGGACATCCTCAGGTCTGTCAGTCACACCTGGTTTTTACAAATCAAGCATCTTTAATTAACCAATGAATTAATTCAGGACCTTAAAAATGAACTGCTAATATAACCAGCTGAGACTTTGGGATAGTAAATGTTTTAAAGTTAAGAAAAATCATTAAATGTTGGTAAGTATAAAGGGATTTCATGATGTATTTCTTCTATGTCACTAGATTTTAGCTCAACCAAAAGAGAATATTTTCTAATAAAAAAAAAATCCAAAAAGGACATGAAATATAAAAGTTAGGATCATCTGAGAGTTAAGTGGAACCACCAGATAAAACAGATCAACACACCGTAAGACCTGCTCTTGTTTACATGTTTGCTTCATGCCAGTGATGAAAATCCACCTCGAAGCTTTCAGGCATCACATTTTGGCTGCTTGGACACCGGTTGACCCACTTCCTGTACGCGGTCTTGCCCTTGTTTATAAATAATGATCAGCTCCTGCTCTGGAGTCCAGTCACCTGGATTCTCTTTGTTGAGTTTAACAGTGCTTAGGAGGTTCATGTTGTGTTTCATTCCGCAACTCCGAAGCTTGCTGCCACGTGGATTTTTCACCCTTGAGAGTCTGTTGTAAGCACTGTGTGGGGGTCATTGATAGATGTGTTCAAAGTACTGAGGCTGAGGATTCTCTTTGACGTATTTCTGAATGTACCAGCAGGTCAAGTGTGCCTTCAGGTCCTCCTCCACCACGAAATCCATGGCTGCCTGAAAGCACAAAATTCAGGATTTTATTTTCAAGATTATAATTATTTTGAATGCAATTTATCAGCCAACACATCCCAACAGCAGAAACCCACAGAGACAAACCAGATCACAGGCACTAGGAATGCAAGAAAATATCGATATGGCAATATATCATTGCATTTTTTCCAACGGTATATCAGTATTCAAAAGCTGTGTATCTAAAATGTTTTCCTGCAATATTTTATTGATATTCAAAAGCCATGTTTCTAATTTTTGGAAGAATTTACATGCAAACATTACTGTATATATTTTTTCCTCTCATACAATTCAAACGCCGACCACTAGTTAGCAGCAGTGTGCAATGGGTTTTGTTGTTACCATTGAAATGTAAATCCCTCTGTTATGGTTCAGATACCTCACGTAAAACATGTTGTATAGGTTTGGAGCATTTATTGAATTTTCCTACATTAAATTCACTCTAAAAAATCGTTAATATCGTCTGACTGAATGTATCGCAATATACCATGATATATGAAATCGTCTCCCCTGTATCGTGGGACGTATTGTATCGCCGTAATTTCACCAATACACATCCCTAACAGGCGCCATTTTAGACTTGGGACTAGTTTGTGACAAAACACAGCTGTAAACCTCCGCTGAAAGCTGCAAGGCAGCCCCAAAGAAACCCGCATCCATAAACAGATGCACAGGTCATTAGTGAACCGGCCCAAAAACATGCGTATGCACTACGCCAGTCCACAGGGCATCTAGGTGCATGATAACGGTGGTTTAAAGCTCAGCTGTGATGCGGCTCACTGCTACTTCCTGGAAACGGTGCACCAGTGTTTTTTCCATCCCCAGTACGACTTAAGGTTGGTTTATGCTTGACGCGTCTGCGAGGTTCGCACGGCTCCGCGCGGAAAAGTTGCATCATTTTAACAACCACACCCCTCCACCGCGCCTCCGCACGGCCCAAGCTTTCCGCACCACGCACCTAGGAAATTTTCTAACCACGCGGACGGTCGGACGCGGAAAAACATGGTGGATTGGCAAGAACTAGTATGGCAGAGGTTCGTAAATACAGACATTTGTATGATTCAGCTCTCAAAGATCACCGTGATCAACATGTTGTTAATAATTCTTGGAGAGAAATAGCTCGCACTGTCGGAAAAAGTTGAGGACGCTGTTAAAAATGCTGGAATGCCATGTTGTAAACAACAGCAATTTTTACGTCTACTATGGTGTAGTGTTGGATGCATGCCATAGAGCTCCATGCTGCCCCCTACAGTTTGGGAGAATATTGGCTCACCGCAGAGACAAGCCGCATGAACCATAAACGCTGCAAGTTGTGAAGCGCGTTCCATCCGCGAGCCGCATCACCAAGCGGAACGTGAATGCGTCAAGCATAAACCAAGCTTAACAAGGCAGACCACTACTAGAGACTACTAGAGTATTGATTGAGCGAGTGTTTCACTTTTAAGTGTTGCTTCAATTTTGAATAGGACACAGCCTTTCAAAATAACAAAATGGAAGGGTACTTCATCTCAGATTAAAATATTGATAGTGATGATAAACTTGAAAATAAGATAGTCAATTTGAAACATCCAGATGAGAAATTACCTTGGCCAGGTGTTTTGCAATTCCCCTGCCTCTATAAGCATCAGGAACTTCTGTGTGTTGCAGGTCCACCATCTTCTTCCCAACATATTCATACAGAAGAACAGCCCGATCATGTGATCCTGAGCACAGACCGAAGGTGTAAACAGATTACTGAGATTAAATAAAACATATATGATCTCATTCCAGCTATACAAGCCATTTGAATTTACATACATGATACATAGGTTTTTCCTGTCAAGCAGCAAGATTCTGATGAGGTTTTAGATTTCAGATTTTCTGATGGTTGTTTAAAGTTTTACTTTAGATTTTAGTTGCCTTTTAATTTATTTTCTGCTGTTGTACCTGACCAATATAGCTTATTGTGCAGTGAGCACTTTCAGATGAGTCAGGAACTACTGATAATGAAAAAGCTTTGAATGACGCATCTTGAAGAAATATGAAAAAAAAAAATCCAGCAAATGCATGTTACATGCATCACCTTTTAGGTTATCATTTATCAGCTTGAGGGTCATCTAGCCGGAGCCAAAATGCCATTTCATGAGTCAAACTGTGTTATGGTTGGTATTTTCATAGACTCAGCTCACCAAATGGATCAGCGTATGTATTTGTGACAGGCTGCTGGTAACAAAGAGCCTAAAGATCTCATTTGAAATTGTTTCTTTGCCAAAATTCCTGTAATGTGTCAACAAAATAGTGGGTCATCTCAGTATTTAGGAGTTGTTTGTGAGGCCCAAATGACAATGAACTAAACATTCCAGTGGAATTGGTCAAGTTGAGTTGACAGTTGAGACCTATCCATCCATCCATTTTCCTCCGCTTATCCAGAGTCGGGTCGTGGGGGCAGCAGCCTAAGTCGAGAGGCCCAGACTTCCCTCTCTCAAGCCACTTGGGCCAGCTCCTCCAGGGGAATCCCAAGGCGTTCCCTAGCTAGGCAAGAGACATAGTCCCTCCAGTGTGTCCTGGGTCTTCCTTTAGGTCTCCTTCTGGTTGGACGTGCCCCGGAAAATCTCACCAGGGAGGCGTCCAGGAGGCATCCTAATCAGATGCCCGAGCCACCTTAAGTGGCTCCTCTCGAAGTGGAGGAGCAGCAGGTCTACTCCAAGCCCCTCCCGAATGACTGAGCTTTACACCCTATCTCTAAGAGAAAGCACAGACACCCTGCGGAGAAAACTAATTTCAGCAGCTTGTATCCACAATCTCATTCACTACCTAAAGCTCATGACCATTGGTGAGGGTAGGAATGTAGGTCGACCAGTAAATCGAGAGCTTCGCCTTCCAGCTCAGATCTCTCTTCACCAAGACAGACCGGTACAACACCAGAATCACTGCAGACACATCACCAATCCGCCTATCGATTTCGCGCTCCATCTTTCCCTCACTCGTGAACAAGACCCTGACATACTTAAAACTCCTCCACCTGGGGCAGGACCTCATCCCTGACCCAGAGAAGGAATGCAACTGAACCACATCAACTACAAAAATAAGAGACCTGATCCTTAGGCAACTAAAATGGATGCTCTCAACACCTAGAAATCCTGTCCATAAAAGTTATGAACAGAATCAGTGACAAAGGGCAGCCTTGGTGGAGTCCAACCCTCACTGGGAACGAGCTCGTCTTACTGCCGGCAATGCGGACCAAGCTCTGACACTGGGACCTAATAGCCCGTGTCAGAGGGCTTGGTACCCCATACTCCTGGAGTACCCCCCACAGGGCCCCCCGCTTTCTCCAAATCCACAAAACACATGTAGATTGGTTGAGCAAACTCATACGCACTCTCCAGGATCCCTCTAAGGGTATACAGCTGGTCCAGTGTTCCACGGCCAGGACGAAAACCATAGTGTTCCTCCCAAATCCAAGGTTCGACAATCCGACAGACCCTCCTCTCCAGAACCCCTGAATAGACCTTAACAGGGAGGCTCAGGAGTGTGATTCCCCTCTACTTGGAACACACTTTACGGTCCCCCCTTTTAAATAGAGGGACCGCCACCCTGGTCTGCCAATCCAGTGGAACTGCCCCAGATGTCCACGTGATATTGCAGAGCCATGTCAGCCAACACAGCTCTACAACATTCAGAGCCTTAAGGAACTTTGGGCATATCTCATTCACCACCGGGGAGCTTTTTGACCACCTCAGTGACCTCAGCACCAGAGATTGGAGAGTCCAACCCAAAGTCCCCAGACTCTGCTTCCTCACTGGAAGGCAATGGGATTGAGGAGGTCTTTGAAGTACTCTGCCAACCAATTCACACCGTCCCCACTAAAAACAGTGTTGGTAGCGCACTGCTTTCCACTACTGATGTGCCGGACGGTGGACCAGAATCTCCTCAAAGCCGTATGAAAGTCTTGCTCCATGGTCTCACCAAACTCCTCCCATGCCTGGGTTTTTGCCTCCGTGACGACCCGGGCCGCATTCTGCTTGGGCTGTCGATACCCATCAGCTGCTTCTGGAGTCCCATAGGCCAAAAATACCAGATAGGACTCTTTATTCAGCTTGACAGCACACCTGACCACCAGTGCTCACCAGAGGGTTCGGGGGTTGCCGCCACGACAGGCACTGCTGACCCTGTGGCCACAGCTCTGGTCAGCCACCTCAACAATGGAGGCATGGAACATGGTCCACTCAGACTCAATGCCCCCGCCTCCCCTGGAACGTTTTGGAAGTTCTGTCGGAGGTGGGAATTGATGCTTCTTCTGACAGGAGACTCTGCAAGGGTTTCCCAGCAGACTCTCAAAATACGTTTGGGCCTGCCAGGTCTGACTGGCATTTTGAAAATTTACCAGAAAGCCTGGGTGCTCCAGAGCAGTGACGCATCAGATAGTGGCCACATTATGATGTGGCTTTCATAGAAGAAAAGAACCACTGTTTGTGGACAACATGGGACTGATAAGGATCACCATTCACAGCAGAGGAAACAATGACTGGAACAAGTTGCTGTACACACATCTCAGACGTGTATGGTGAGGAAATATTAAATCAAGCTGAGCATGACAGTGATACACACAGTCCAGTCACTCTACATGACAGTTAATGTGTTGTTTTGCAACAAATAAGAGTAGGAAAAGAGATAACATACCCACATCTGTCTGATACACTGGTTTTACAACGAACGAATGTTATTTAATGAGTAGCTTCAGGAGTTTGCCTATTAAAGTGGCATGATGCTTGATTTAGAGACCACAACAAATAAAGAAGTTACTCAAATTTAGATAAATAAACAAGACCGGTGATTTTCTGAGAAGATAAAGAGTTTCTGACGGGGGTGAAGCTCGCAGTCGTGCCTGAAATGGCAGCTGGAGCCTCCAGAAGGGAACGACAACAATGTTAGCACTGAAAACAGCTAACCCCACTAAGCTAACGGCACGCGCGTATCAAATAACCAACGTACCGTTGAGCCGAATAACGAACTGCCGACGCTTTTTGTCGTGTTCCACCTGGATCTGAGGGCTGCTCGCATCAAAGGCATTGGCTTGTGCCATTGCAGAGGTGTCGGTGTTGGTTAGACGCTGCTAACCAGAAATGGCTACATGAGAGATGAGGATGGTGAAGAGCAAAACATTTCATCCAACCGAATCAGCTGTGAGGTCACGTGACGGTCAGCCAATCAGTTGTTTTGGCGTCAGAGAGAGAGACCCAGACAAATGTTCTTAATTTAACCACGATTTGGGATTCATTCAGCCGTAAATAAAGCTGATAAAGCACCAAGCTACTCTAAATAATACATTTAGTCTGTAATAAAGGCACAATTTGTTTTAATTTATTTAGTTGGAACATTAAAAACAAACGTAAGTCACAGTCGGACTAAGAAAAGAGATTTTAACTGTCTAAAGTTCCAAAAAGGTTAAATGCTTGAGTTTTTTTTGTCTTATTACAGGAAATGCTCTTTTCTCAACAACAGTAACTAGAAAACCCAGAAACATGTCACTGACCTGAATTAATGTTAAATCATGAATATGAAACATTCAGGAGCAGAGTGAGAGATGGGCGATGATCTTCCAAATAATAGAAATGCAATAAAAAAATTTGGTTTCCGAGCTTCATCCTCATGGGTTTTGAAAACGTGACGTTAAATAAAAGTTTGTGGACTGTTCACTGTTCATTAGTTGGTCTTAGTGCTAATAAGATGCATTCAATACACAACTATTTCGTTTAAAATTAACTTGTCTAAACATCAGATGAAAATCCAAGTTTAAATATTTTTATCTCGGAGGTTTTAGCAGCTCCGGCCCGTCTAACACCAAAATAAGGGAAGAGTTTCTCAGTGAAGGTGTCTCAGTGAGTGTAAATGTGAGACATGTCTTCTGAGTCATAGAAGGACAACTCCCCCCACTCATAGTCCAGCTGGTCTCTGACCTTCGGGAGTCTCTTCTTCACTCTGACCATCTGACCATGCCATAAACTCCATATCCCACATTTTGGCGCTGCCCGTCTCTGTCCCTTCCTGTCAGCCGACTCACAAATCAAACTCAAAGTCCAGTCCCACCTCCACCTCCCAGCTGTCTTCCTGAGCTGAAGCCCCACTGTTAGTGTTTCTCTCTGGGATGTCAGGAAGCTGCTGCTTTGTGTCTCCACGCCTCACCTGGTTCAGATCATCAGACAGGTAGAGACCAGGGTATGCTGTGAATGGGTCCAAGATGACACGACTGAAGTGGACCATGTCCCTCATCTTCTCTCAGACTCTGAAGGAAAGGTTGTCCAGATGTTTGGCCACGTCTATCAGAGCTCCTGAGACCAGCTGTGGATCTGACACTGAGCTCTGGATTCTGGTCCTGGTCTGAGTGTCTTCATAACTGCTGAGGAACGTCACGTTGTCTTTCTGCCGCACGTCTTCAACTGCAGAGAGGCTGTCTGACAGAGAGGAGATCTGCTCCTGAGTCCTCTTCATCTCTCTGCTGGTGGTCATCCGCTTCTGCTCCTCTTCCTCCCTCAAAGCTGGCAGTCTGGACTCCTCCTCCTCTTTCAGGAACTGGTGGATCTTGTTGAACTCAGCTCTGATTCGTCTCTCTGTGGACTGATCAGCTGATCCCTGGAGTATTCAATCACATCGTTGTAGGTTTTCTCCACCTGTTTGTGTTTGCTCCTCTTGTCCTGCAGAGACTTTAGGTCTGATTCCAGCTGCTCCTTCAGCTCGTCCACTGATTGGTCCACAGGAATCACTTTGTGACCGTGATGGAGAGAAAACTCAGACAGGACACAGGGCCTATGCTCGTCTCCACAGAACAGCCGGGGCTCTTCTGGGTGTTTGCTGCACACCACCAGTGAAATTTTTTTTCTCCCTTTTCTGTCTCTGATGATCCTGATTTCTGTCTTGCAGCAAAAGAATCAGCAAGTTCCTTCAGACTGAAATTCACAAGCAGCTTATCTTTTGATGATCTTTTGCAAATGCGCCAGTTTTAAGTTTTGGTTTGTTCCCAGAACTTCTTCAGGCAGGCAGCTTGACCAGAAGTTGTGGCTGCAGCTCAGGGACACAGGGTCCGTGAAAGTCTCTGAACAAACAAAGCAGCTCAGGAAAGTTTGAAAAACAGTTTGTTCAGCCACTTTTTTCCTCCCTGGATAGAAGACTCACCAGTAGCAACTTTCCTCTTTAAAGAATTAAATTTCAGATAGATCACACGCCCAGGAGAGGGCGCAATTATTGAATTGTTGTATTATTTTCTTGACAAGAGAAAATTTAGAACAGAATCAGCCAAGGGTTGGAGTCTGGAAGGAGCTTTCAGGCCAGGTCAGAGGTCAGAGGTCACAGATCACACCAGTGTTGCTGTAAATCCTCAGCAGACCAATGCTTGTTTGTGTCTTCTGGAAAAATGTGAACCCAGACTTGATGTTAAGGCGAGTCGGGGTTAGGTACGTCAGGATTGCTAAAGTCACATCGTGCTAATCCCAAAGCGTTGCTGGACTTAATCCTGCCAAACTCTAATGGAGTCAATCCGTAAAGATTAAGAGCGGGTGAGTCTTTGGGACTGGACCGTCTGTGACTTGTTCGCTGAATGTTTGCTGACTGGAGGCAGACTCTTTTTCTAAATTACAGCCATAAAAATGGCAGACTCTATTTAAACTTTTATCGGACCTTTTGTTTGTTTTCAGAGTAAACAAGATGTCCAAAAAGCCCAGGTAAGCATCCATTAAGAGCTTGTTACAAACGTCTAGAGTTTTGTCAAGTATTAGTCATTGAGTTGAGTTATAAAAGTTTATAATGTTATTTCTAGTATTTATTTTTTGTTACATTAGCAGTTAAACTAAACGTCTCAGAAGGACTGATGTGTATCTGATGTGGAGTTGAACACATAGGTGTGACGTAAACAAAATAAATAAAAGTTGAAGCATGCATTTTTGTATTATTTCAAAAAAGGCCAATAAATCATAAAAAGGATGGTAAACAGCTGTCATGCGAATGTTGGGGTCTCATTGATAGTTTTGTATTATCTGTAGCAGGTGGCAGGAGACACCGATGAACACAAAGACCAACAAACCTCTGCAGGACCAGGAAAAGGTGAGCGTCAACAGAAATAAATCTAGTGTCGGCTCAAAATATGAAATTTAAAAATGCATTAGCTTGTATAAAAGAGCGTAACTGTGTTGGATTGTTTTAAAGATAAAAAAATGTCCCTCTTTATCATAAATGTTGCATTTAAACTGTGAAATACTTGTAATGTTGAGTTAAAATGAAAATGTTCTCCTCAGATTTAAGATATATGCTTTGAATCCATTTTATTTGATTTATATCCCCATTAAAGACCAGAGATCCGCTTGGTCTGCACAAATGGCACTGTCAGGACTCCCAACCCTTCCGCACATTGATTTTACCATCCTGTGGTGGAGCCACAGATTCATTACCCCTGCAGTTGTTGAGGCTGCATCTTCTGAGGCTGGAGTAGACCCCCCACTATCCGGCTCTTAAATCCTTAAGCACAATTAAGTTCAGATGTGTGTGTGTGTGTGTGTGTGTGTGGGGCCACATTGACAGTCAGATGGTACTTAAGCAAATTAGGAGCTCTTGTCAGGATTAAAAGCCGGTCTCTGTGGGGTTATTGGATTCCACGTGTCAGATGTTGGAATGGGGGTGTATTATATTTGAATCCTGTCATCCTCAAAGGTGAAAAATTAATCTTTTTGTTGTAACTTTGATCTGATAACCTCCTACTTACTTCCATTTCTCTCTCTCAAAGGTTCTGATAGCAGGGAAGCAGGCTAAAGCCGGAGCTCACAGTGCAAAAAGCAGCAGAGGAGGAGAATCATCTGCCTGTAAAGGTGTTGGTGGAAGCAGAACCAGCCTTGGACACCAGGCTAATGCCAGACATGCATTCAACCCAACTGCAGCGGCTCCCCGCCTGTGCAGCAGCCGGAGCTTTTCGTCCCTCCAGTCAGCATCTCTCACTGCAGCTCCATTCATGAGAAGCAGCCGCTCGCTCAGCAGACTGGATCAGAAATCCCCTGGTAAATATTCATGATGGTTAACTCTAACTCTGACTGTGTTTAAAAGGTTAATTAGACTCGTAAAGGATGGTTTATTTTGTTTTTGGTGTTTCTGATTCCACAAAAGATGCTGACAAAACTGCATCAATTTCACCAGTGAAAAAAGGACAAACTACAGGAAGGAAAATTCTGGATTCTGTCAGGCTGGCGTCCTCCGTGCAGCAAATCAGGTTTGTTCGTTTTTTTACATTATCCAAAGTATTTGTTGTTATTAGTTCTTCACTTTTTAAATCCAATTCTATGATAATGAATGTTAGTAATCTGTGCTTTTGGCAACATCTTTTTCCTGGCAGCTCCGCTCATCCTCAAGCATCTTCTTCCTTCTCTGCAGCCTCAGTAGGTCATCATCACAACAAAGGAAAGAAGCATGTACGGTAACACAGCAAAAATGTTCAATTTTTATTCTGACAGACAAAAACAAGACGATCACCACATTGCATTTACAGTTGTGGTCAGAAGTTTACATACACTTGTAAAAAATATAATATAATGGCTCTACTGAGTGTCCCGTTATTTCTAAAACTCTGATTTTTCTCTGATAGAGTGATTGGAACAGATACTTCTTTGTCACAAAAAACATTCATGAAGTTCGGTTCTTTAATGTCTTTATTATGGGTTAACAGAGAAAAGTGATCACATTTGCTGGGTCACAAATATACACACAGCAGTGCTAATATTTGGTTACATGTCCCTTAGCCATTTTCACTTCAATTAGGCACTTTTGGTAGCCATCCACAAGCTTCTGGCAAGCTTCTGGTTGAATCTTTGACCACTCCTCTTGACAGAATTGGTGAAGTTCAGTTCAATTTAATGGCTTTCTGACATGGACTTGTTTCTTCAGCACTGTCCACATGTTTTCAATGGGGTTTAAGTCAGGACTTTGGGAAGGCCATTCTAAAACCCTTATTCTAGCCTGATTTAGCCATTCCTTTACCACTTTTGATGTGTGTTTGGGGTCATTGTCCTGTTGGAACACCCAACTGCGCCCAAGACCCAACCTTCGTGTTGATGATTTTAGGTTATGTTGAAGAATGTGAAGGTAATCCTCCTTCTTCATTATCCCATTTACTCTCTGTAAAGCACCAGTTCCATTGGCAGCAAAACAGCCCCACAGCATAATATTCCCACCACCATGCTTGACTGTAGGCATGGTGTTCTTGGGGTTAAAGGCCTCACCTTTTCTCCTCCAAACATATTGCTGGGCATTGTGGCCAAAAAGCTCGATTTTCGTTTCGTCTGACCACAGAACTTTCCTCCAGAAGGTCTTATCTTTGTCCATGTGATCAGCAGCAAACTTCAGTCGAGCCTTAAGGTGCTGCTTTTGGAGCAAGGGCTTCCTTCTTGCACGGCAGCCTCTCATTCAATGCAGATGCAAAACACGTTTGACTGTGGACAATGACACCTGTGTTCCAGCAGCTTCTAATTCTTGGCAGATCTGCTTTTTGGTGATTCTTGGTTCACTCTTTACCCGCCTGACCAATTTTCTCTCAGCAGCAGGTGATAGCTTGCGTTTTCTTCCTGATCTTGGCAGTGATGAAACAGTGCCATGCACCTTATACTTACAAACAATTGTTTGCACTGTTGCTCTTGGGACCTGCAGCTGCTTTGAAATGGCCCCAAGTGACTTTCCTGACTTGTTCAAGTCAATAATTTGCTTTTTCAGATCCATGCTGAGCTCCTTTGACTTTCCCATTGTAGCGTTTGTGGGCGTTTGTATCCAATGAGACCTATTTACCTGGCCTAAGAGAAGTCACCAGCTGTAGTCACTCATAATCACTCACAAGAAGTTAAGAGGCCATGCTATGAAGCTCAGTTCACTGACACGTTTCTAAGTCACCAAAATTGCTAGTTCATGTTGCTGAATGTATATTTGTGACCCAGCAAATGTGATCACTTTTCTCTGTTAACCCATAATAAAGACATTAAAGAACCAAACTTCATGAATGTTTTTTGTGACAAAGAAGTATCTGTTCCAATCACTCTATCAGAGAAAAATCAGAGTTTTAGAAATAACGGGACACTCAGTAGAGCCATTATATTATATTTTTTACAAGTGTATGTAAACTTCTGACCACAACTGTAGCTTTCCATCCATCCATTTTCAGCCGCTTAGCCTTCTAGAATAAAAAGCTTGTGTTCACACTTAACTCAGGCTGAAGCTTATCTTTTCTCGTGCCTCATGTGTATTTGTGAGTAAGAAATACAATATAATCAGGTCAGAAAAAGAGTTTCCTGTTATAATCATGGCATAAAAACATTAGAGATGCTTGTTTACTCTTCTGGATATTAGCTGTTACCCTGCACACATTCAATGTCGCATGGATGTGTGTGTAAACTTTCTCGCCTGAGCAACATATGGAGAAATGACTGAATTTGGGAGTGAACAGTAAAAATCCTAAATTTGACTACTTTTGTCCTAAATGAAACCATAACATCACAGAAAGCATGATTATTTGATGCAGATGATGCAGGATCAAAAACTGTGGTTTGCATTGAAGTCAATGGGACATTTTTGTCCATAAGAGGCACAAGAGGGTGGTAAATTTTAAATCTGCTGCTACACAAAAACTAAAAAAAGCATAAAATGTGATATTTTGCCAGACTCTTGACATATCCAAGGCTGATTTAAAAAAATGATTTCAGTCACTCAAAACATGTTTTATGTAAACTATCTCCTCTTTTTTCTGCTTTTTTCATGAAAAAAATGAGCATCACATAATCAAACTGGCATATAAAGGGTTAAAATCTAGATTAATTATTCAAAATTTGATTTTTTTTGATCAGAAATGAAGTTGATCACAAGATTTAGACCCAAAAAGCAGAAAAAAATATTAATTGGGACCATTTTTAAAGCAGTTTTAAAAGTGGATGTTTTTGTCCTCTAATGGCTCGATTATATAGTAAATTTTAAATCTGTTGCTATGTAAAAACTATAAATGCAAAAAATTCAAAATTTTAGATATTTCATAACATAATCAAGATTGATTTGTACTAAACACCCCAGGCAAAAAAATGTCTTTTTTAGAAAATAACTCAGTTTTTGTGGGGGGTTTTCCCCCCATAAATTACAGCAATGACTTTGAGTATTCAAACTGGCATTTCAAGGGATAAAAGCCTCAAAATGATTGATTTTTTTATGTTTGAGCAAGGCTGAAGTTGTTCAACAGATCTATGAACAAAAAGCAAAATAAATAAATAAATAAATAAAAAATAAAAATTAACATATGCATTTTTTATGGCCACTTTTACAAGCGGACGTTTTTGTCTTCTAAAGTCTCAAGGGTATAGTGTTTTTTTTTCATAGTGTTCCCTTGGTCTATTTAAAAAATTCCAAATTGAATTTCAAAATTTGTTCAGAGAGAGGTTTTGTGACAAAATTTTGTACAAAATGTCCCTAATGAAGCCTGAGGGTTAACAGAGATGCTAGCAGAAACATTGCTAGCTTTAGCATTGATATAAAGGGACGCAGAAATAAAAGTAACAAAACCGAAATCTAATTTCCACCCGTTCTTGTTTAGCCACATGTGGCTAGCACGTATATGTACAGTCTATGGGCTAGCATTAGCATTATAGCGCTGCTAGCTAGAAGTAAAAAACAAAACAAAAAAAGTGGCTTTTTAAGCTCCCATGGTCTAGTTTTAAATTTTTGCTTTTTTAAATGTTGACAATTTTGTCAACCATTTAGGCAAATGTTTATTATACCATACTATTTTTAAAATTAGTGGTGTACCTACAAAGTTGTACTGGCGTGGGAGGTGAAGGAACGGCAAAAGGTCAAGGCTGGGTCGCAATACTGCTCCCTCACTAAAGGATGGGAAAATCCTCTTTATGTAGATAGAGTGAACACTTTAAAAATAGGTGTTCTGTTTTCATGTACTCAAAAAGCAAAAACTTTCTTTTTAATAAATGAGGAAAAAGTTCCATAAAATCAATGCAGAAATAATTAAATAAACAAACAAAAAACAATAAAACAATCAAATATTACACAAGTCATGCTACACTCTGGTTACAGAGTCAGATTAAGAAAACAGTATCATACAATCTTGGATTTCACTCTTAAGGTGCTGACTCAGATTACCATAGATCCTGTTGGTAATGTTGAGAATTGGTCCAATCTTTGCAGATGATGTAGATGAACCATTACAAAAGTCTATAAACATTTAATTTTACACACAAGGAGGTTAAAATAAGCAGTTTTTGTTTCCCCAGACCAAAGATGGCGTCTACACGCTGTGTTCGATCACCTCTGGGGTGAAAAGCAACTGGGTCCAAGCAGTTCTGAAAAATGTGCGGCCAGCTCTCACACAGAACCTCACAAGGTGGAGTTTGTATTATTACCTAAAGCACCTAAACCTTGTTTTTGCCTTTTATTAAACCTTTTATGAGATTTGTCTGAATGAGCAACTTTACTAAATGTCTAATGAGCTTTGTCGATCTGCAGAAAGCCACGTTGTGACATGTAGTGAATAACTCTTTGTTCCTCACAGCTCAATTTCAGAGAAGAGTGAAGAACAGCTAGAAGAGAACAGAGATGGTGAACAAAAAGAGGAGTCACACCAGCCGCAGCCTGAAGGAGCATCGAGCTCAACTGATGTAGCCTTTTTGTGCTCTTCACCCGCTCCATCACCAGTTGATGCTCTGCAGCAGGTGGAGGAGAGTGAAGGTGCTCAGTGTCTGCTTCCTGCTGAAAACACTAGATTTGTATTTAGTTTGATAATGATCCATCAAAATCTAAAATCACTTTTTAAATTTTTTATTTTATTTCGAACATGTGCTGTCACAAATTTCAAAAGTGTGTGTCTGTATAAACAAATTTGTTCGAAACAGGAAGTAGGTTAAAGCAATAGCTTAGTTGTTCCTACTAATTTTTTCAATTAAATAAACAAAAAAGAAACAACAACAACAAAAAAGCTTCCACCAAAGAAACAAACACTGTCCTCCTGTGTAGTTGTCATGACACCTACAACATAAGTCAATGTAGGCTCTAAGATTAGCAATAGGATACATGTGGACTCGTGTCCATATTGACATTCACAAGTATTTGTTTACCAACCCTTATGAATACACACACACACACACACACACACACACACACACACACACACACACACACACACACACACACACACACACACACACACACACACACACACACGCACACACACACACCCTTGTATGTACATCAATACATAACCTCATGTACACACATTCATATCCATTCCTAAACGATGCCTGAACATACATACACAAACATGTGCACCACTATCTAAACATCACCAAAACGTGTACATACAGATATATAACCTATGTACAATATTTAAAACACAGATGTTGGGGTACAGATGTTATAAATTCTCAACCTCTATATAGTTGGGTGAAAAAACATTTTTTGTACTGATTTTTGAACCATATGTGTGGACATTGCTTTAACCCTCTGGAGGCAGGCATTGCAGATTTTCAACAGTTAAAACCTACCTACCTGGTTACTCCACATACATATTTCATGAGCATTTTTTAACTCAGACGTACCCCCGAAGGACTTAGTTGTTCGTCCTTTTATCAGAACTTATTTTCAGCCTGGGAGGGTTAATGTAGGACTCAATCCGTTCCATAACTTTACTCCAGAAACTGAAATACACCAATTTTTCATCGTAGTTCTAACAGCAGGTTGTTTAAAATGGAGCTCACCTCAAAACTGGTATCCTCCATCTCTGATGAAAAATTATTTCTGAATATTATCAGGGAGGAGATTATTTATAGCTTTGAACATGATCACTGCTGTTTGAAACGGCACCAGATCTATGAATTTGACCAGTTTTGAGTTTAAGAAAAGAGGATTTGTATGACCTCTAACCAGTCTTGCGAATTATCCTTAATGCTCTTTTTTGTAGAACAGTTATTGAAGACAAAGTGCTTTTATAGGTGTTACCCCATACCTCCACACCATAGTTAAAATACGTCAGAATAACAGAGGAGTAAAGAATATGGAGTAGGTAATAAGGTGAGACTCTATTCAGTAATAAAATACTCCTTGCAATTTTACCCTGTGTGTGTTTAACATGTGATTTCCAGCTTATTTTATCATCTATACTTACCCCCAGGAACTTAATTTCAGAAACTTTCATTCCCTGTTGTGTATATCTTTTTATTTTTGCTATAAAAATTCACCTATATGTTCTAAAAATGACTTTCGGTAAATGTTCTTTTACACACGCAGCCACAATTAGTAATTTTGCAATTTAGCAACTTTTTTTTTGTTCTGCAGGAATGACAGAATTGTCATTGTGCGCTGGAAGCATTCAGAGGGACAGCCCGCCGTCCACAGTGGTGATTAATGGTCACCAGGATTGTGAGGGACACCCAAACTCTGAGCAGAGTTCTCAGAGGTGTGAGAACACCCAGGAAGAGCGACAGGATTTCAATAACCTCACCATCACTACAAGCAAGGACGTTCTGCCTCATGAGCTGCAAACGGCACAGCTTGTCAAAGAGGTGAGATCAGAACTGACAATAAAAGCACGAAATAATGGAATCATGTGCAACAAATGTTTCTCTACAGCTGCAGCAAACACAGAGGGAACTGTCTCGGATCCAGCAGCTGAACAGGAACCTGCAGGATGAGCTTCAACAGGAAAAAGAAATTCATTCAGGGAAACTTTTTACTTCCCAGGTAAAAATATTTTAAAACCCGCTCTCATATTTAAAGCATTTGGATGCTTAAATGTGTCAGGATTGTTCCCCATAAATGTGGCTTATTTTATTTGGTTTTGTCCTGTAGAACGGCATCAGTTCATCTCCTGATAAAACTTTGACTTCACATCACCTGCAGAAGATAAACCACAACCTCCGCATGGAGCTAGATGCCCTGAAGAAGAGTCAGGAGGAGGCCCAAGAGGCTGAACTATTGAGAAGAGTCGACCTGCTAGCTCAACAAGCTCAGCTGTTAGTCACGGGAGATGCAACAGCACTTGCTCAGGTCCATCTGGAGCAGGATCTCCAGAGGCTTCGGGAACAGAAGGAGGAGTGGGAGCACAGCACGGCCTCCTTAACGTCCCAGCTGAGCATCAGTGAAGAGAAGAGGAAGGAAGCTGAGTCCTGCTTGCTACAGTTGCAGGAGGAGTTGCAGAGTCAACAAGGTCTCCAAGAAGAGGCTGAACAGCTGAGAAAACATCTCCAGGAGATATCAGCTCAGCTTCGTGCTCACGAGGACACCCAGGCCGAGAAGGAGGCTCGACTGCAGAATCACCTCACGCTCCTTCAGGCAAGTCAGGAGAGAGAACGAAGGAGCTTGGCTGCTGGCCTGGCTCAGGCTGAGCAGCGTTCGCAGAACCTCCAGGACAAACTAGAACGGGCTGAGCAGCAGCTGGAGACCTTTAGTAAGAGTCAAGCACTGACCAGGGAGATTGAAGAGGCCCAACAACAGCTGCAGGAGGAACTGGCCAGTACGGTATCAGCTGTGCAGCAGCTGCAGGAGGAGCGGGAGCAGCTCCGTCATCGCTGTCAGGAGCTGCAGAGCCAGCTGTCAGAGGCAGACAGGGAGGTGAGCAGGCTTCAGGACCGCTTGAAGACAGAAGAAACACACTACTACAACCTGGAGCACTCGTACGAGAGGGCGTGTGAGGATCTGCAGCTGGCTTTGGGAAAGGTCCAGCAACGGGAGGCCGAAACGCAGGACATCAGAGAAGGCTACGAAAGACTGCTGGACAGGAAGGAGCAGGAGCTGAGTGAAGTTTTATTAAAGATGGAGGTTCTGGGTAACAGTTTGGAGGAGACAGAAGTGAAACTGAATGAACGAATGGAAGGTTGTACCTGCTCCTCTCCGCAGAAGGATGGCTCCTCAGAGCACACTGAGCTCAGACACAAACAACAACAAACACCTGAGTATTTCACTGTAAATGAAAACAGTTCTCAGCAACCGAACATCGTTAAAGACGTTGAGGTAAGCAGCACAGATCCGAGAGCACGCTCTCACTCCGTGGACGCATCCTACCAGTACATCATCAGCCCCGGAGACGACCCAGATAAGTTTGTGTCGGCAATCCAAGTACTTGAAACAAAGCTGTTTGTCACAGAGGAGAAACTGAGAGACCTAACGCACAGCCTAGAGGAACACCAGAGCCACATCAGCGGCCAGGATCCTCACCTCTACTCCCAGCTGACCCAAAGCCGAGCGACCGCCCAGCACCTCAGCCTGCTACTCCACAGTCAGGCCAAACAGAGCCAACGCTTTGCCCAGGAGACGGAGAGCCGCTGCAGGATGCTGGTCGGTAGGTTTCAGGTGGCGCTGAACATCGTTCAGGCCTGCAGAGAGAGGCTGCAAGCAACTCCGGTTAACATCCCAGACATTGAACGGCAACTGGCCAGTGTTGTTAGCTGCCTTCAACATGGGGAGAAGGACGCAGAGCGAGTCCAGCGTGACTCACGTAATGCGTTTAAAGATGAGGGTAAGATCCTCAGGGATGAGAAACTTGCCGGAGCTGAAGGTGACATCATTTCTACCTTCACTGACACTCAACCATCACACGATATCTCGAGTGTTGGCAAGCATTTGATCAGGGAGCTATTTGTAATTGAGAAAATGGTGTCTGTCCTCCAGACCCAAAATGGTATTTGTGAGTTATCGTCAGCTAAAAGAAAGGACAAGGAAGATGTTGCCTGCATTTACAAAAGCCTCATCTCTCAGAGAATCAGCCTGAAAGCTGAAGAAAGGACGTCGTCGGGGAGAGCACAATGGGACAGGGAGGAATTCCTAGAGAACAAAATCGGAAGGTTCTGCGCAGAAGCAGAGCTCATCTACGCTGCTTTAAAACTTCAACAGAGTGTGACTCAAAACAATCAGGAGGCAGACCATCAAAGGGAAGGTCTTGCAGAAATCAGTCCATCAGAGTTGGCTGCTTACGAGGAGACGGATAAGTTGGAGGGTAGAAGTTCAAATGAAGCTGCAAAACCAGTTAGAAAGGAGCAATCTGATGAGAAAAAGGCAGAGAAAGATCAAGGCTTGTTGGAGAAACTCATATCTCGGCTGCAGAGGAGGGCTACGTTCCTCTACAATATGTGCCAGGAGCTTCCTGAAGATGAGGTGGACCATGGAGTGGACAAGGCTTCAACAGATGACCTAAATTTTTTTCAGGAGCAAGTCAAGTTGATATATTTATCAGACAAGCTTTACTTGGACTTACAGCAGGAGGTTCAGCAAACAGAAGTTCTGCAGAACAATCTGCAAGCTCTCTGCAGAGAGCGCAAGAAGCAGGAGATGCTGAGCCACACTTTAAATCAGCTTCAGGAGGACAACGACGTTCTGAAAGAAGAGCTGGAGCTGGCGGAGAAGAAGATCCTGTCTGCAGAGGCCAGGAACCAAAGACTCCTGGAAGACATCCAGAACATGGAGGATTTTCAGAAGGAGCAGATGAAAAAGGTTGAAAATGAGTTTCAGGAAAAGATCAAAGAACTCCAGCAGATCCACGAGGAGGAGATGCAACAATTACATGGATGCTACACCAAATCTGGTGTTTCCAAAGAAAAAGCCTGCAGCGAGACGTCTCCTCTGAAAGAAGACACCCATTCTTTATCTGACCAGGCTACAGCAGGAAGTCACGCCAAAGAGGTCCAAACAGTGGACGTTGATGCAGCTGCCATAAGGGAGGAGTATCTGAGAGATCTGGAAAAACTACAGGTAATGCTACCAGTCACTGCTGTCAGATTTTTTTCTTGATTTTAAAAATGACTTTTATCGGAAACTATCAAAAATGTCTTGAAAATGAGAAATTTTCTTACTTTAGTTAATCAAAGGACACATCAAGGAGACTGATCTTTAGACCAAAGTGTGTTGTGTGTTCTTAATCATGCACGCTGTACTTATAAGACCATGTGAAGCTAAATCCTAATTTTAAAACAGGCATCCTGCGATCATGGCTTTGCAGCCATGGAGGAAATGCACAAGAAGATCCTAAAAGACATCCAGGAAGAGCATCAGAAGCAGGTGGCTGAACTTCTGAAGGAGAAGGACCAACTTCTGCAGGAGGAAACGGCTGCTACCATGACTGGTATGCTGCACGGTCATTAACAGTTATGAATACGTGCTTACACAGAAGAATGAGCTATTTTAAATATATCTTAAGCAGAATTTTGCATTTTAAGCCATTGTAGCCATCAGAAGAGCTCACAAAAAGGAGCTGGAGAGAAACAAACAAACTCAGCAGATCAGGGAGAGCGCTGATGTCACCGAACTGCAAATGGAATATGAGTGAGTGAAGGATTTTTATATTATTAAAAAAAACTTTTTTTTACCTATGCTGCTGTGTGTGTTGCTCTTTTAGGCTTGTTGAACTGAATTATAACTATTTGTGGACTTTTGCACCATATTCTAATTTTTGGAGTGTCACCTGTAAACAAACTTCTGTTCTATTTTTTTGGGACTGAGCATTTCTACACATTTCCCACAAATAAATAAATCTCCATAACTTGTCTGTGCGGCGACTTGTAATTTGTCCCCGGAACAGTATTTTTCCCCCAGCTTCTCATTATGACTTCTGTTTATGGTTCATTAATCAAATATCAGCTCCATCCTTTCTAATATAATTTCCTCCAAAATTCACTTAACGTCCAACATCATCCGTGCCGCTGCTTTGTCATCGCAGGAAGGAGATCCAATTACTCCACAAAGAGCTGGAGGTGTTGTCATCTCAGCACATGGAGAAATGCCTGGAGAACACTCAGCTGAGCCAGGAGCTGCAGGATGAGAGGAGATTGGTGACGCAGTACCAGAAAGAAAACAAGCAGCTTAAAGACAAGGAGGTGGAAACGTAGCAGAGTGTGCTAATTGAGTGTTTTTAAATAACACTCATGTTTCTGTTCTTTGTGACCTTTTAAGAGAGAGAGAGATGAGTTGTTTCAGCAACCAGGAAATCCACAGGTCAGCAAGATCTACCAGATGGAGGTATGGATCTTTTTTCAACAAATTATAGGAATATGAATGTGCTTTAGTTATAATCTAAGACCAAAACTGGTTGTGCAGCACCAGGCTAAAGACCAAAGGTGACAGATCATTTGCTGCTGTGGCCCCCAGACTCTGGCACTCTCTCCCCCTGAGCCTGAGATCAATGGACTCAGTGGTCTCCTTTAAAAAGCAGCAGAAAACTCACTTGTTCAGGCTGGCTTTTGTGTGACCTTTATCACCCTCTCCCTGTTCTGCTCTCCCCACCTATTCCACCTTCCTCAGGATCCACTGATTTTCCTCTTTCCTATTCACTCTCTCTTTCTTAACTTTTTTTAAACACAATTGTCTATTTTTGCTCATTTTAAATATATTTTTAATCATTTTCTAAATTCTTTTTTACATTTTTTGTTTTTGTGAAGCGCCTCGTGATTTTTTTATTTTTATTTTTTTTTATCTTGAGAGGCGCTATAGAAATGATATTTTCTTCTTCTTTAAAAGAAATGTTAAGGCTGCTGTCACTGGCTCATTAGTGTCACCATGCTAACCACATCTATGTTTTTTTAGTAACTGGGAAATCTTTTAATATACAAGGCAGAGAAAAATGAAGACTAAAAAGTAGTTGTTGTATGAAAACTTAAAGCTCTGGAGATTTATTTTATAAGAATTAAGTTTAGTTTAACTGCCCGCCTCCTGTCGATCCCTCTCCAGCATTTATGACAAAATCACGTTATTACGTATGGATCAATGTAAATGAAAAACTACATGAAACAATCATGATTGATTTGAAAAGCCCCCTAGTGGCTGGCTCCAGTACAACGTTTAAGCCCCGCCCCTTCCATGTCAAAATAATGGGATATAATTATTAATTTTTCAGGGGTTGAATTTTGTTGAATTATGTACATTTAATCTTAACGCTGCACGTTGCAACTTTACAGCAATAATAAACAAGATCTTTTTTCTTCTTTTTCAAAAACAAAGACAACATTCTAACTTCTCCGATTATTGTGTGTTTTTGTTCAGCACTTTGGTGGGCTCTCATGCCGTGTTTAAATGTGCTATATAAATAAAATTGGTATGGTATGGTATGGTAATGATTTATAAACCACGTTTCAGCACAAATGACCAAAGTGAAAGCTTGTTTCTCATTCTTTGAAAACTGAAGTTAAATTTTTATATATTTCACTGAAACAGATGATTCTGAGGGCCAAAGATGCAGAGATGCAATGTCTCAGAGATGAGTTGGAAACGACCCGAATGGTGGTAGAGATAAAATTTTATTAAAAACACGTTGCAGTTATTATGAAACTAAAGTAACGACCATATTTGTATTTGTTAAAAGGACAAAGTTTATGCAGAGAACAAGGTGAAGGACCTTCAAAGAACAGACAACAGCGAAGCCTTTCATCATGCCGGAGCTGATTCAAAGTTTGCTACCTGGTCTCCAAGCAGAGTCCCTCCAGGACACGGCCCCAGTCAGAAATATCGTATTTAATGTATTTTACCAAAACAGGAAACCATTTCTGCAGGCTGACATGTTTTTCTTCTCCATCTCTGACTCATCAGACAATCCTGCAGCAGCAACAGACAATCCTCCTTTTCCAAAGAAATCATCGTTTATGCGTCAGATAAGAGGAATCAGATCAAAGGTAAACAGCTACACTCACTGGTCACTTTATTGGGTACACCTTGCTAGTATCGGGTTGAACCCCCTTTTGTCTTCAGAACTGCCTTAATCCTTCGTGGCATAGATTCAACAAGGTACTGGAAACATTCCTCAGAGGTTTTGGTCCATACTGACATGAAAGCATCATGCAGCTGCTGCTGATTTATCGGCTGCACGTCCATGATGCAGATTTTCCATTCCAACACATCTCAAAGGTGCTCTAATGGACTGAGATCTGGTGACTTGCCATTTGAGGACAGTGAACTCATTGTCATGTTCAAGAAACCAGTCTGAGATGATTCCAGCTTTATAACATGATGCATTATCCTGCTGGAAGTAGCCATCAGAAGATGGGTACACTGTGGTCATAAAGGGATGGACATGGTCAGCAACAATACTCAGGTAGGCTGTGGCGTTGCAAAGATCATCAATCAGTACCAAGGGGCCCAAAGTGTGCCAAGAAAAATGTCCCCCACACCATTACACCACCAATACCAGCCTGAACCGTTGATACAAGGCAGGATGGATCCATGCTTTCATGTTGTTGATGCCAAATTCTGACCCTACCATCTAATTGTCACAGCAGAAATTAAAGTTAAAGTCCCATCAGTTGTCACACACACTGATGTGTGTACAAAATTTGTTCTCCGCATTTGACCCATCCCTTGGAGAAGCGGTGAGCTGCAGACACAGCCACGCTCGGGAACCATTTGGTGGTTTAACCCCCCCATCCAACCCCTTAATGCTGAGTGTCAAGCATTGGGTCCCACTTTTTTCTAAGTCTTTGGTATGACCCGAACAGAGATTGAACCCCGATCTCCCAATCTCAGGACGGACACTCTACCACTAGGCCACTGAGCTGGTAAATCAAGACTCATCACACCAGGCAATATTTTTCCAATTTTGGTGAGTCTGTGTGACTGTAGCCTCGGTTTCCTGTTCTTAGCTGACAGGAGTGGCACCCGATGTGGTCTTCTGCTGCTGTAGACCCTCTGCCTCAAGGTTCGACGTGTTGTGCGTTCAGAGATGCTCTTCTGCATACCTCGGTTATTTATTTGAGTTACTGTTGCCTTTCTATCAGCTCGAACCAGTCTGGCCATTCTCCTCTGACCTCTGGCATCAACAAGGCATTTTCGCCCACAGAGCTACCGCTCACTGGGTGTTTTCCCTTTTTCAGACTGTTCTCCATAAACCCTAGAAACGGTTGTGTGTGACAATCCCAGAAAATCAGTGTTTCTAAAATACTCAGACCAGCTTGTCTAGCACCAACAACCCTGCCATGTTCAAAGTTACTTAAATCACCTTTCTTCCCCATTATGAAGCTTAATTTGAACTGCAGCGGATTGTCTGGTCGATGTCAACATGCCTACATGCGTTGAGTTGTCACCATGTGATTGGTTGATTATTAATTTGCGTTAACGAGCAGTTAGATAGGTGTACCCAATATTGTGGCAGATGAGTGTATAGGAATGTTTATATTAGTAGTTTTATATTTTATACTCGCTAAAGCGTTGACGATTTTACCACAACTTTTACTATTTGCACATTATAAAAAAGTCCATATAACCTCTATTAGATGTGCAGCCATTTTGTTAAATCTACTTTTTCATGTTTTTATTTGTTTCAGAGTTTAAAAGAAGGTCTTTCTATTCAAGAAAAACTGAAGTTGTTTGAATCATTCTGATGTAAGGAAGATGGGCGACGGATCCACTCATCAGGGCAATTTTTACACGTATAATTTTGTCTTACACCTTAGATTACGTCATAATCATATAAGATGTATAATGTTTTACAGTGTAAGAAACTTTGTTAGGCCCGAGCAGCGGAAGCACTGCAAAGGCCTCTTGTTCTTCATTTTTCATGTCATTCTTGCAGAAACTTTATTGGCTTTTTGGAGGCCTTAACCTATTAAAACTCACCAAATGTTACACGTGTCCGTCATGGTGTGGAATCTTATATTTTAAAGATCTTGGAGAAGTCACAATAGAAATAGTGAAACAGCCTTGCGACTTTCCAATCCCTCTCCTCATCAACCTTACTTTACCATAGAGTCATTATGTAATTTACACTTGTACAACTTAATGAGACCTACAAAAAACTCTCCCATGCCCATCCTTTCAAATAAACAGGAAGTTGGCCATATTAGATTGAACAAACCATTTTGACCCCGTTTTGGCTCTTTATAACCACCGCATTTGATCAAATTCCTCCTGAAGATTTACCGTAATTTCCGGACTACAGAGCGCACCTCAATATAAGCCGCACCAACAAAAAAAAAAAGGGTTTCTACACACACATGCCGCATTCAAATACAAGCCGCGGCGCACAGCACAGCGCATGTATGGCCATAAAGATAATTAGACAGAAAGACGCTACACGGAGGTTTTTCGTTGTTGTTTTAATTCAACAAACCGAATTTTAAACACGGGTGAACGTGCCTGCAAGTTTAGAAAAGAAAACAGCACTGATAGCATTCATATTTCTGGATGGTTATAAAATAAATACAGAACTGACACGTTATTACCGGTAATTTGCATGTTTAGAAGAAAAGAACAGCGCAGACATAGCATTAATAAGGATGATTAGAAAATAAAAACTGCACACAAAACATGCCTGGTTAGTAAATAAAACACACTTGCCTACCAGAAAAAGTAATTCGCTCTCATCTTCCTCTTGCGCACTAAAGCCATTAAAGTCCTCTTCTTCAGTGTCGGAGTTGAACAGCCTCAGAAGAGCTTCGTCACAAACCTTTTCTGTAGCAATGTCAGTATCGCTGTCCGTGTTTCTGTCATCATCCCCGGGTGAAGCTGGCTTGAATGGGTTCTTCCCGCTGCCGTCTCCAGCGCCGAACCATGGATTCATTCATGCCAAGCTTACCTGCGGCAGCACTGTTTCCCTCCTTTACTGCCAGATCGATGGCCTTCAACTTAAATACGGCTTCATATGAACTCACGTGTAGTTACCATGATGAGGGGGTATGGATTTGAAAAATAATCTTCGTCGTGCTGGCTGCTTGCATGTGCTAAATTAAAATGAGCACTTTCTTCAATTTCCACTTTTGACTTCCACCTGTTTCACGTTCTGCTAAAGCGCCCCCTGGCAGGTGAAGGAAAATCTTCAGTAAAGCTGCACCTCATTATAAGCCGCATGGTTCAAAGCGTGGGAAAAAAGTAGCGGCTTATAGTCCGGAAAATACGGTAATCAAAATGTTGAGTTTTGGTTTTTATTTGAAGAGGGACTGCACACCATCAGAAAACGTAACTCTACCCCTAGTCAAGATTTGAAAAATGCTATGAAAGTGGGCGTTGCCAGGAGGCACAGAGTAGCATGGCCAAGTGTGGAGAATTTCCATCCTGGGAGGGAGGGGGAGTGGGAGGAGACTGTACCGATGACGTGAAATTGTTCCAGCCCCAGTCAATCACAAATTCAAAATGCAGTAGCTGCTGTTCTGCCACAGGGGGCAGCACTAAGACATTTTTAGACCTAGACTGTAGATTTAAAGCTGCTTTCCGGAGTTTTCCTCTTTCAGAAATGATGTATGATTTGTCAGAAATCCATAAAAGTGATTATCTTATCATGTACTGTGATATAATATGAGCAATACGTCTTTTTTTTTTTGTGAAGCACGCCCCCTGCCCGGCAGAGCTCCATGCAATAGGAAACTGAGCGCCGACCAGAACTAACCAATAGCGTTAGACTGCCACTTAGACACTTAAAATTTAAGGAATACCTCGGCTGATGCAAAGTTGATGAACTTTTGGGGCGACGGTGGCACAGGAGTTAAGTGCTCGCCCCGTAATCGGAAGGTTGCAGGTTCGAGTACCGCTCAGTCTGTCGCTGTCGTTGTGTCCTTGGGCAAGACACTTAACCCACGTTGCCTGCTGGTGGTGGTCGGAGGGACCGGTGGCGCCAGTGCTCGGCAGCCTCGCCTCTGTCAGTGCGCCCCAGGGCAGCTGTGGCTACATCGTAGCTCATCCCAACCAGTGTGTGAATGTGTGTGTGAATGGGTGAATGACTGATTGTGTTGTAAAGCGCCTTGAGGGGTTCCAGGACTCTAGAAGGTGCTATATCAAATACAGGCCATTTAACTTTTCACGGACAAGAACGTCTCTAAAATATAAATATATGAAAACACAGCATGGCATGAGAATAATACTCGTAAAACAACGTGTTTTAGCTCTGTTTGTCGGCTACAGAAGCACATTAAAAAACAGAAACGTGAAGTCGCCATCTTAAAAAAAACAGAGCAACAGTGGTTTTGTGTGATATGCTTGTCTGCCACTAGATGGTGCCATGGGATAAGAGAAATACTCCGGAAAGAAGTTTTAATCAGGTTGACACAAACATGTCAAAAAAATGCATATAGATTGCATTTGTAAAGACCCAATTATACAGTTTCTAAGCAAAAAAAAATATTTTGGGGTGTAGTTACTCTTTAAGGAGGCCTCAAACTTTTACTTCATGCCAAAAATTATAACTTGCCATTATTTTAGCACAGAGAGTCACGGAGTAATTAAACCTGATGAGGTTGGTCCTCCTCTGGCCCCTAAATGCAACAGTCAAATGATGATGTTGTCGAAGCCACCACCCCCCTCCCCCTCCAAACAGGAAGTATCATATTTTACTTTGAAAGGTCCTTATTTGACCCCTTTCACCTTATCAACATGACTCTTTTCCAAGTAATAGAAGATAGAAGACAAGTGGGGGTCACTTGGCATTCAGTACTGGGAAGTTTTGAAAAAGAGGGGGTTGCAGAGGCATGCCAAGACCGTACATTTGCCTCTAATTTGCACAATTTGCATCTAAGATATTTATTTACCACTACAAATATTTATGCAATTATTTGGTGGTTGTGGCTTATTTATCAAACGCCGCCCCCTAGGAGCATTAAAACCATCATCCCAAAGCCATGCTTTGAGGATTATAGAGGTCGGAACTCACTTGCGGTGTCTCCAGACCAACAGGGAGTTGGACATTTTGTTAAGATGATGCCATTTTCCTCCTTTGAAACATGTTGCATTTGAACAAACTTGGGTAACGCTTCCTTTTGCAGTCCCCTAGTTACTAAGTAATTAAATGGTAATTACATAGTAAGTTACAGTGTATTATTGTTTCTGAGTTCTTAAACCGTTATTACCATGTAACTCAGGTTCAATTCTAGTTTTATTTTATTAGTCATTCCCAGTAAATACTGCTTTACACAGTAATTACACTTTATTACATTTTTACACTTTAATTACACAATAATACAATGATTATTGTGTCATTTGTAAAATGTATTGAGAAAAATGTAGCACATCAATAAACTTCTTAAAAGTCTGTCTTCATTAAAATCAAGATGCATGAAAATTTGTATTGCTTCAATCCAAATAGAATTACGTTTTAGTTTTAGGAGCAAGCAGACTCTTTTACAAAATATAGAAAATCTCTAAAAAAAAAGGGCAGAAAATCAAATCAAGCTTATATTTATCTGCCTTTTAAAAATCTAACACTTTTACTGAATTTGAAGCCTTAAAAACTAAAGTAAAAGTTGTTGTGATAGAAATCTTAAGGGTATTTTCAATCCTTGTTTTAGTTTTTTTTTTTTTACTTAAAAGTGGAGCGATGAAAAAAGATTCAGATTACTTCTAACGACAAATGTCTGCTTACAAACTTACTACAAAACTCGTTTGGGTTTTGATGTCAGATAAACTAATGACATTTTAAAATTAACGAGATATGAGCACATTTCTTTTAACATGTTCAGGAGTGTTATTGACTAAAAATAGGATTAGTAAACAGAGTTGTCGTGGTCGTTACTCAGCAGTTAAACTCACGTTACATGTTTAACCCTTACTGTGTTACAGGCAGACTGCTGAGTGGTCTTAAAACAAAACCCCCAGATACCTTCTGAACAGCTCACTCACAAATACCCCGGGAGTAATATTTGTCTCATTTATACCATTCAAAGAAGTAATAAATGTTCCTTAAGATAATTCCCTTAATCTATAATTACCCTATAAGACAAGCTTTTATGAGTGGGTTCTGTTACTCCTTTGAACAAAGGTCAGATTTCTGTGAATATTACAGATCACACATCTGTGTTTCCCTGGAGTCATGTTGCTGCAGAGGAACATCACACCTCATTAAAACCCAACACACACCTTCCTCTCCCTGCAACTGCTCCTTGTGTGAAAAGGGACTCTGGGAGAGCACAGCACCGATTCCTGGTGTAGTTGGATGCAGAGCTGCCCCTGTGCGTGTGAGTTGGTCAGACAGCTGACACAACACTAACACAAGGATTTCACATTTAAAGGTGCAATATGTAAGAATGACCTGTGGTCAAATGTGGTTACTTCAGTCTATTTTTATAAGCAAAAAATTACTTTCTCCCTACTGTTCCGCACGTTTCATAGCTGTTGCCAGCGCCAGAAGATTCTAGATGACAAATAAAGGCAAGTGACACACCAACACATTCTCACACCAAAGGCGTCAAAATATGACGCGTGACCAAGCGTCAATACATGACGATTCGGGACGCCCCAGCGCGTCAGGAGACGATGATCAGGGACACGCTGGATCACGTGGCTCCGCTGGAGTCACTGTTTGACGTGCATGGTCACACGGACATTATTCTACTATTTAACCTTCCCCTCACCCCAATCCTGACCTTAAGGTCCATAAACTGACCTTAAGGTTAGGATTGGGGTGAGGGGAAGGTTGAGTAGTTCACAAGTAGTTCTAATGTCCGTCTCACCAACGGCGTCGGTAACGCAAAGGCAAAGTAGGCACGTGCCTAGGGCCTGATTGGCTGGATGGGGCCCAGACAGAGGGACAAAAATAAACATAAATAAATAAAAAATGAAATGTACAAATGTCCTATGATAGAATTTGTAGATAGGACTCCCATCTACAGTTTATTTCAATATTTATTAATAAACTAAAATAA